TAAACTTTGTATACATGTTGAAAATTATAGTATAATAAGCCTTGTGATATAATATGATAATGTTTACTGATGTAACATAAGAACTTTAATAAATAAATAAAATTCTAAATAAAAAAAATAAAAGTACTTCCTTTTGTCTGTCCTGAATCTTCCAACCTTCAGTGGATGTCTGCGAGTTCTAGCATTATGAGAGAGGGGGAAATGCTTTCCCTATCCGCTTTCCCCAGGCCATGAATAGTTTTGTGAATTTCTATCATGCCACCTCTTACTTGCTCTTTGTCTAAACTAAAAAGTCCCATTGCTAATTACTAATAAAATGGTCTGTATTGTTATTAGACCACATTTCTAATGCCAAGAAATTCTATGCCATTTGCAGAAAGTATGCAGCTTTCAGGGGAACTTTTCAGGGGCAAGACAATTTTTGCAGTGGGTTTTTCATGTAGGACAGGAAGGAAGAGGCCCTTGTGCTTCCTGTACCTTGTGCATCTTTCGGAAAGGCCCTTGGCTCATTTGTAGAATGCTTGCTGGTGCTGTGCACTCAGAAGGCCCCATGTACAATTCTTGACATCACTGGTAGCATTGGGAATATCCTGTGCCTCAGACCCTGGAGAATCATTGCCACTAATTGTAGACAGTACTGAGTTAAATAGACCAATGGTCTGATCTGATATAAGGCAGCTTCCTGAGTCCCTATCTCTGTGCTCTGAATCATCTAATCTGAAATCATAGCAGAGATGAGGCGAAGTCCAGTCCTGTAATCAGGACACAATCCCTCAGTTTGCTGCAGTGCTTGGGATGAATAATAGAGTCATAGATTTGTAGAGTTGGAAGGAACCCTGCGGATCTTGCCCAACCACCTGCCAAGCAGGAATCTCAGCTAAAGAATCCATGACAGATGGCCATCCAACCTCTTCTTGTGGTTAAGAGCAGTGGACTCGTAATCTGGTGAACCGGGTTCGATTCCCGGTTCCTCCACATGCAGCTGCTGGGTGACCTTGGGCTAGTCACACTTCTCTGAAGTCTCTCAGCACCACTCACCTCACATAGTGTTTGTTGTGGGGCAGGAAGGGAAAGGAGAATGTTAGCCGCTTTGAGACTCCTTCAGGTAGTGATAAAGCGGGATATCAAATCCAAACTCTTCTTCTTCTTCTTAAAAACCTCTAATGAAGGTCCACCACCTTACAAAGTTCCACTGTCAAACGGCTCTTAATGTCAGAAAGTTATTCCTTAGGTTTAGTCAAAATTCTCTTTCTTGTAATTTGAATCCAACGGTTCAGGTCCTCGCCTCTGGAGCAGCAGAAAACAAGCTTGCGCCATCTGTCTTGTGACAGATATTTGAGGATGACTATCACATGTCCTCTGAGTCTGCTCTTTTCCAGGCTAAACATACCCAACTCCCTCAACCGTTCCTCATATGGCTTGGTTTCCAGACCCTTGATCATCTTGGTCACCCTCCTTGGCACACATTCCAGCTTGCCAGAACGGGAGACAGGACTACAAGGGTGGCCTGACCAATTTAACCAATTAATTCAAAAAGCTTTGAACATGAACTAAGTCCATTTTGAGGTAGAACTTTGTACTTGAAGATTAACTAGAAACCGTTCATTTTCTTACTTTTTTTTTTAAAAAAAATACTCTTTATATTCTTTTGACCTTTAAGCTCAAAGAATGTTATGGCTGGGGGAAATAAAAGTAACGCTTCACATTCCACTGTGTAGGCGTTTTGATGTTTCCTCAGTCTTAAGCGTATTTTACACTTTACCGCAGATGCTCATAACATTCTGAAAGCTGAAAAGAAATTGCTGAGGGAGGAACATTTGAACAAACCGTGAATTGAACTGTGAACTGGACACGAACCAAACCCATTCATTTTGTAACAGGACAACCATGAACTGGAGTCAGTTCCTTTTGAGACACATTGTACTTGTACTTCAACTACAACTAGTTTCTTATTTTAAAATGAATTTTCCAAATTTCCTGTTTTCTGTACCAATATTTTCAGATCTGAAGCTCTGTTTTTCTAATGTAGATGGATGGTAGCAGCTTCCTACCTGTTTGGGGAGGTGCACTGTGGTGTAGATGGTCTGAGGCACATCCTTTTTCACCTTTGGTCCTCTCCGCTGTTGGGTTTCCGATGGGGAATTCTGTGAGTGGAAGAGAAAGCTGCAACGTTTACTGGTGCCTGTGACATTGTGGGTTGGAATACATTTAATTAATAATAATAATAATAATAATAATAATAGAGACGAGAGGGATAAGCAGGACATTGTTACGATGGCTTTACCACGACGGGGTAAATTATCCCCAAACTATCAGTATTAACTGTTGTATTTCAAAAAGTCAGACTTCCCCCCCCTCCAGTCCACCAAAGAAGTGGATAGAGCTGCCCAAAGAAGTAATCATTGCCTGTTTGGCCTCTGTGATCCGGGAGGAGCATGCAAGGAATTCTGGGATATAAGCCATGGATGTGGCCAGAAATGAAGACAAGACAAAGTCACTTATAATTTTTTTTTAAAAAGGCCATGCAGATGTTTATTGCATTTTGGTGACTAAAATATGGTGTGAATGGAAACTCTCAAGTTATGTGTTGCTTTTTTTCCCTTTTTTTCTTTCAAAGTGGATGCGAGGATTAAAATCCTCATTTGTGGAGCAAATTAAAATCAGATACCCATCACACGTTTCTGAGCTTTTAAGAAGGTGTTTTTAATTTTTTGATAAAATACCTGTGAAATAGAAACTAACACTTCCCCTACCCACCCCTTAGGAAAGTAAAAATACCTTGAGAGACTGGCTCCACCCACAGTTTCCACTGTTACCCGTTTGTGAGGGTGACTTTTTCAAGAATATGGTATTGATGTAAGCAAATGTGACACAAGGAGTGTTTCGAAGTCCATGCCTGAGATCTTTCGGAAGCACTGAAGCACCTCCTCACAGATCTTCAGTCCTCAAGAGACTAACCCAGCAAAAAGGTGTGAACATGTTGCTGGTTGTGCTCAGGGCTTATTTGCTTTTGAAACCTTGCCCCCATTTTGAATTCCATTGTAGTTATCATTTACCACTCATCATATTCACTGTAGGAGGGGGTTGGGGATGGTGGCACCTAAAGCAGGCATCTCCTTTCTCCTTCCCCCCCAAAAAACTTTGGCTTCCTAAAAAAAGCTCAACAACTTTGGTCCGACGATGGGTAGATCACTGCCAGTTTTTTTTATACTGTGAGTAGATCACAGTCTATTGGGAGGTGGACGTCCCTGGTCTACAGGATCAACAGTGATGGGCAGGACAGGATGTGGGCACTGATACCTTGGAGAGATGCTGCCAGGCAATGATTGGCCTTCACTGACCTGATGCCTTCCAGATGTTTCGGAATACCAACTCTCAACTGCTCCCATTAGGACATTTGGAAGACACCGTTTGGGAAAGACTGGTGTCTACAAGACTGAGCTCAGTGAACCGAGGGTGCACCTGATCCAGTTCAAAACAATGTGCTCTGATCATCAGAATGCATTACCCTTCAGTGCATTCACACCCATTCTTTTGAACCAGGTACACATGAAGTTACCAACAATCTGCTGGTTTCATTCTGAAATGCTGTGCTTTGAAGCAGTTCTAAAGCCAGTTTTGCTCTCGTTTCAAAAGTGTTTGAGTGGTGAATCCCAGGAGTTGGAACTGTTTCCTGGGGATGGTGGTCCTACATTTCTGGCGTCAGGGGTGGTTGTGTCATGGAGGAGCACCCCACACGACCCACCCACCCACTGCCTGCCTACTGCAATCCTACATGTGTCTGCTCAGAAGAAAGCCCCATGGAATTCGATGGTGCGTACTCACTGGTAGGTAGGATTGAAACAATAGGGAGTGGGAAGACATGCTAATCTCTGCTCAGTCTCTGCCAACAAGAATGTGGGGAGGGGGATGTTGATCTGTCTCCTTTCACTCACTTTGAGAAGAAGCAAAGCTAGGATCTCCAAGCAGGTACAGTGGAACTCATGAGCAACCCTCCCACAATGGCTATGCTCCACCTCCATGTTCAGAGGCAGCAATGCTTCTGGAAACCAGCTGTTAGCAAACCGCAGGAGGGGAAATTGCTCTTGTGCTCAAATGCTGCTTGTGGGTTTCCCACAGTCATCTGTTTGGCCACCATGAGAACAGGATGCTGGACCAAGTGAGCATCTGGCCAGTGGCTCACCTCTAATGGTGGAGGGAGAGCATAACCATTGCAGCTAGTAGACATCAACAGCTTCCTCTTCCACAAATTTGTGCAATCCTCTTTTAAAACCAGGCAATGTGTGTGCGTGTGTGCGCCAGTCAGAAGAAGGGCTAAGAAAGAGTTTAAGCTGTAGCTCTGTAATGTGTTCACGTAGAATTGTCCTCTCTTAAAAAGTAAAGGTAAAGGGACCCCTGACCATTAGGTCCAGTCGTGGCCGACTCTGGGGTTGCAGCGCTCATCTCGCTTTATTGGCCAAGGGAGCCAGCATACAGCTTCCGGGTCATGTGGTCAGCATGACTAAGCCGTTTCTGGCGAACCGGAGCAGCGCATGGAAATGCTGTTTACCTTCCCACTGGAGCTGTACCTATTTATCTACTTGCACTTTGACGTGCTTTTGAACTGCTAGGTGGGCAGGAGCAGGGACTGAGCAATGGGAGCTCACCCCGTCGCGGGGATTCGAACTGCCGACCTTCTGATCGGCAAGTCCTAGGCTCTGTGGTTTAACCCACAGCGCCACCCACGTCCCTTGTCCTCTCTTACTTGGGAGTAAATCCCAAGGTGCTCTTGGCTGCAGACACAGGAAGATGATCACTAGGGGAGTTGTTGAGGTGAAACAGGGACATACAGTGGGCCAAGTGGAAACACATCAAACCGTGATGCTGTGTACCAGGATTTGCAAAATGAAATGGAAATGCAGACAGGAAAAACAGCCTTGCTTACATTTTAACCCTCTAACGTGTACATACCACTTGAGTGGAAAATCCCTCCGTGGCTCAGTTGGCTCAATGGAACTTACCTGGGGAATGTTTTCAATTTGAGAATAAACAGTGTGGCACTCTTTGGATTCTGCAAAGAGAAATCATGTATGTTAACTGAATGGGCCTCCACCCCATTCAGATCTGCTTTAATTATGATTTTTCTTATAGCCCTTCCAAGGAGCTCACAAATTCTAATTACTACAGTAATTGTCTAGTCTCTAGGCAGATAGATCTCTCTTTCTGGCCACCTTTGTTGTTTGGTCTTGCAAATGAAAGAGGATAGATCTGCCAAAGAGAAAGTCATTTTCTTTTATTTTCTCTGTGTTTCTGGAGGACTCTCATCAGTGAATTTGGAGTTGTCAGCTGAGGCACTGGCTATTGATTAAAGTGTTGATAATCCATTAGAAAATGTATCTTAAGATTTAGTTTTTAAAATGCTGTTAAACGCCAGGAAAGAGGAGCACAGGAGATACATCAAAAAGCAGATTACGTAGTTTTTGCAAAAAAGAAAATTGCAAAAATGTTAAATGTAAGCAGAAAGAGCCAATCAATAAGCTTTGCAGTTTAATCATATATATTTTTATTTCACACACACATCACAAAACAGGGAAGGAACATAAATGCAAAATCCTCCATAGGAGATTGTTTATGTTGCAGATATAAACCAGTTTAAAATCCTCCATCACTGTTATGGACATAAACCAAGGAATTCTGGGAATGGTAATTTCATTGAATGGTCAGGCACCTTTCAGCAAATCTAACTACAGGTCCCAGGGTCCTTTGAATGAATCCAAAGTCATTTAAACCAACTTTAAATTTGTGGTAGAGAGAGAAAAGGTATTTTGTTCTAGAACCTACAAACACGTCTACAGCAATCTGTTGCTTATTGTCAAAAAAAAAAAAAAAAAAAAAAAAGAGAGAGAGAGAGAGAGAAAAGAGCAATCATTTCCAGAATAGTAGTTTTAGGGGGGTTATACTGTACAAAATTCACAGCTTTCAGTCAAAAAGCCCGGCAGCAATGGACTTTCTCTGGGTTTCCCCTCTATAAAATTCACTTTCTTCATAAAACTGCATTATTTACATCACTGGAAAGATTGTTCACTTTTACTATAGATTTGAGTGTCTAGTCTTTTCTTCTTACTGAAGTTTCTGTACATTCCAAATTAATGTTCACTTTTGTTAATCAAGCGTTTTGTATTGCCATTTGTTTTAATTTCTGCCTTTGCTCTGTATTCACACTTTCTACTTCTCTCTCTCCCCCCCCCCCCCCGTTTCCTTGAGAGCATCTGCCTTCATTGGCCGCATTCACCCATACTTGGATTCTGTTCCTGGAAGGCAGACACTGTATTTTCATCTCTACATGTGTTTTACCAAGAGGAGGGCAAAATTGTTCCAGGTCTCATTTTAAGGCAATGGAGGAACTCTCGCAGGCACCTACTGGACAACACCTGTAGCATCACAAATAGCAAGTCATGTGGGTTGCATCCAATGTTAGCCATACTCAGTGTAAACCTATTCAAATTAAGGGACCTAAGTTACTCATGCCCATTAATTTTTATGGGCCTACTCTAAGTGGAACTTAGTTGGATATCACCCACCTTGCTTGCATGAAGTTTGGTTTAAAAAGACTTCTTTTACTTGTACTTTACTTTACTTTTAGTATTAGTCCTTTCTAAGCAGAGCACTTCTTCATTCATCATCATCCTCATCATTATTATTAAAATTTATACTGCACAGGATGGCAAACCACGAAGTAGCAAAACAATACAATTGACAATAAAATAAAAACCTATTTAAATCATTTAAAAAACACTAATAAGATGTAAAAAAACATTTTAAAACACATAAGCACTCATGACATATCACCTTTCCAGGTAAAAAAAATACCCAAACATTTCTCTAGAAATTAAGTACGTAGGTAATTTTTTTCTCTTTCTTTCCTCTCCTTCACATCTCAGAGCCCTGAAGCACACATACTCAGGAGTCAATGTGTGAGAGGAATGCAAGTATGGATTCTCCCCATTGTACATTCTCAACATATGAACTGAATTGTAGAGTTGGAAGGGGCCATTTGGGCCACCCCTAACGGTCCAACCTCCTGCATTGCAGGAATCCTTTGCTCAATGTGGGGTTCAAACTCACAACCCTGAAATTAAGAGTCTCATGCTCTACCAACTGAGCCATCCCAGGAATGACCAAAAACAACTAAGAAGAACATTGGAGAACGGGGACTGAACCCGCAACCTTGGCATTGTCAGCACCATGCTCTAGCCAACTGAGCTATCCAGTTGATGGCAAAAGACAAGAGGGAGTCAGTTGCCAAGCGTGAAATTCTGTCAGTTTCCAGTTTTCCCTTGTCAGTTCTAATGAGAGGCAAAGAGCCTTCAGCTAATGTATAAGAGCTTGCGTTTGTGTTTGAAATTTATCTAAATATGCTAAGATAAATTAAATAGAAACACTTGCAAAATAACAGCTAGGCTAAGGATTTAAATATGTGAAGTTACATAACAACATGTTAAAGTTAAGATGAAAAGAGATAAAGATGTTAAGAGGATTAAGTAAATGTTATGAGATATTATCTTGGAAAACCGTTACAATGATATATAATGAAATTCAGTCAAGGGAATTTGAGGAATTCATTTAACAATGATACTAAGATTGGGCCAAGTTCAGTCATGATTTATGTTTGTTTGTTTGTTTAAAAATTTGGAAAATTAATTTTAAAAAGGGGAAAAAAGGAAGCTTGCGTTTGTGTGTGTGCTGAGTGGTGATCCTGGCCCAAGGATGGTATAAGACCCTCTCGGATGGGGCCTAACTGAGCAAATTAGGGAACAGAGCTGTCATCTGATTAAAGGACTCTTTAGTTGATTAATCATGTTAGTTGCTTATTGTCAAGAAAAACAAAGAACAATCACTTCCAGAAGAGTAGTTAGTTGATTAATCAAATGATGTTTCATTAAATCTGCACATAAATAGAACACTACTGAAAGCAGGGAAAGCCCTTGCCATTAGAGGATGCACACACGCGCGCGCGCGCACACACACACACACACACACACACGGGTCTCAAAAGTGTCACCACCTTAGCAGAGGCCTTCCCATGTGTGCAGGGAGAGAGGGAAGGCAAGAGGGGATGCCAATTCTAAGGTGTTCTTGTACAGCGTTGGTTCAAAATGATCAGATATCCAATTAATTTAGGGCACTTTTGAAGCTGACCCGTAGACTTTTTAAACTGGTTAATCTAACCAGTTAATTGGCAAAATGCTGCAGCCTGAATAAGGAGGGCTGGTGGTCAGCGGACAGTGTAGTCACCAGTGGCGTAGCGTGGGTTGTCAGCACCCGGGGCAAGGCAAGTAATTTGCGCCCCCTAACCCGTGGATTTGCGCCCCCTAACCCCCAGATGTTGCGCCCGGCCCCCCTGCACCCCCCACGCTACGCCACTGGAGGGACTCCCAAGAAGGTGAAGCGGGACTTCACCCCAGGGTATCTCGGAAGCCCTCGAGGCAGCGACGCTTCCACCCCCTGGAAACAGCAGGAAGGGAGAGCGCTCTTGTGCCCCGGTCCTGCTTTGAGTGCTTCTCATTGACGCGTCTGCTTGGCCACTCACTCTACATGGGCCCTTGTGGCCTTGATCCAGTAGCCGGGTCCTTCTTTGGAAAGAGCGAGCGCCTCCCTCCGCCCCCGCCACACGGAGCTCAGCCTGCACGTGGGCAGGCCCTTTGCATCACGTGCGTTTGGCGCGCTGCTCTCTCCAGCTTCCTCCCGGCCGGGCCAGCGGCTCCACCTCTTTTCCTTTGCCTTTGAGCCGCTTAATTCCCAGCAAGCAATTAGCAGGCTCGCTCCACCTCCTCCTCCTCCCGGCTTTGCTGCTGCTGCTGCGAGGCTCTTTTCCTCCACCGACGGCGCGCTGCGCCTTGGAGAGGTTCCCGCTTCCTCGAGGGGGGCCGGCCAAACGCGCCCCCAAAAATGTTGCGCCCGGTGCGGCCGGCACCCCTGGCACCCCCCACGCTACGCCACTGGTAGTCACACACCAGCCAGGACCCACAGCAGAGACGAGTGTCACACTCCACTTTGAGGAGGAAGTGAGTGATTCCCTCAGAAACCCAGTGAAAGCATAGTTACTGGGGCAGGGAGGGAGGGAAGGAAGAAGCAGAGCACCAGCTGTTGCATATTATCATGGTTGTTGCCATTAACAATAAAAATTTTTTCCATCTTCTCCTCACAACAACCCTGTGAGGTAGGTTAGTCAAAAGATACCGAACGGCGCAATGTGAGCAGAGGGGTGATTTGAACCTGGGTTCCCCTAGCCCTAGTTCAACACAGGGACTGGCAGGTTTAACAGGAGCCCAAGCGAGTCGCACTCAGCTCCTGCCAGTGGGACGGCAAAAGGAGAAGGGGGTGCGTGCTGTGAGGGAGCAAGGGAGCCCCGAGTCAGAAAGGGAAGGTGGCAGCAAGGTGGTGGGGACATCCTGTTTCAAACAGTGTGCAGAAACTCGTAGCCGGCTCTGGGGAAAGGCTGGAGGGGTGCGTGTGTGTGCAGAGGGCCCCTCGCCTCACTCAGGGATCTGTAGCACCACCTGCCAAGTAATTAGGAGACATATTTCAACCTGGGATTGAAAGTCTACTTCGCTGATCATCACATCTATTAATTGTTCGCTGCTCAAAGCTAAAAAGCGTGCTTTGAAACTGTCCCACTTGATAGAAAGGAGAGCAAGTTTAAACGGACTGGCTGAAGTGTGCAGAGACCAGTTGCAAAAGCCTGCTGCACCACTCCTCCACAATTATTCTAGGAACCTAAGAAGCTGGCTGCTGGATCAGGCCAAAGGCCCGTCTAATCCAACATCCTGTTCTCACAGTGGCCAACCAGATGCACATTATGGGAAGCCCGTGAGCAAGCCATGGGTGCGACAGCCCTCTGCCTACTTCCGACCCTCAGCAAGGGGGATTCAGAGACAGGCTGCCTCCAGGAATTTGCTTAATCCCCTCCTAGTAGCCACTAGCCCAGTGAAGGACATGAATCAATTAGGCATTTTGCGGCAAAGTACTATCCTTTGTCTGCCTGTCCTGAATCTTCTGCAAATCTATTTTACATGGGATGACTACAGATTCTAGGATCATGAGAAGAGGAATTGCCCACTTTTCCTATAGGCGTTGGATGGGCACTGTCAAAGCAAGAAGGGGCGGCTGTTTTACCTGACTGATGTGCAGAATCCAGCTGTTTCCTGTGGGAACCTTTGGAAAGGAAGAAAAAACAAAGTGAAAAAGAGGAAGTGAGCGGAACAAAAGCAGGCACAGATGTCTTAATGCTGATCTCCTGAGGGTGGGAGGTGGTTCCCCTCCCTTCAGCGATTTGCTGCTGGGCTGTTTTCATGCAGGAGCCTGTGGAATAGCCACTGGTGCCGAGTAGCACTGAGCTTTGTACAACTATCCCTTTGTTGGTAAGTGTTGCCAATTGACCAGGGGGAAAGAAAATCCTGCTTGGTCTGCTGTCGTATGTTGGACACAGATAGGTAAAAGGTAAAGGTAAAGGTACCCCTGCCCGTGCGGGCCAGTCTTGCCAGACTCTGGGGTTGGTGCGCCCATCTCATTCAAGAGGCCGGGGGCCAGCGCTGTCCGGAGACACTTCCGGGTCACGTGGCCAGCGTGACATCGCTGCTCTGGCGAGCCAGAGCCGCACACGGAAACGCCATTTACCTTCCCGCTAGTAAGCGGTCCCTATTTATCTACTTGCACCCGGGGGTGCTTTCGAACTGCTAGGTTGGCAGGCGCTGGGACCGAGCAACGGGAGCGCACCCCGCCGCGGGGATTCGAACCGCCGACCTTTCGATCGGCAAGCCCTAGGCGCTGAGGCTTTAACCCACAGCGTCACCCACGTCCCGTTGGACACAGATACCAGCCAGTAAAGCTGTTCACTATCTGCAGAGCAAGGAGATGCAACGGGGAGAGGAGCAAGGTCTGGTAAAAAGAGCTGGCAACCCTAGCAGGGACAGCACTTTCACACTTAGGCAGGAAAGGAGAGGAAGACCTTCCCCGTCCCCCTGGGGCTGTGCCACCCACAAATCCAAGCACTGATCGTGCCAATCGCAGGGACTTCGCTGATTCCCCTAGTCAGACTGCATATGGCTCAATGGGGTCAGCAGGTGGATTGAGATGTATAGAACCAGTTCAAATGTGTGCTGGAAATGTAAAAGGAAGGAAGGTACTTTTATCATGAGGGTTGGTAAAAGCTTTCTAGTAAATGATATATAATGAATTGGGGGGGGAATGTTTAAGATAACCTTTGTTAAAAAAAACCAGAAGCTTTTCTGTTAGGAATCATAGGTGTGGAACTACCGAAAGAAAAGATTGTTTATGTATGCAAACAGCAGCAAGGGTGCTCTTAGCCCAGAGATGGAAAGAAGAAAAAGTACTGAGTGGTAGACCAAGCTGGTGGGATATGCCGAAATGGCAAGATTGATGGGAAAGATCAGAAACCAGGAAGACCAAATATTTGTGAAAGACTGGAATAACTTTTAAACATATTTGAGAGACCACTGTAAACAGATGAAACCATTGGCAGGAATTACAATGACACTTGTAAAGTAACAAGAATTTTGGATGCTATGGATATTTAATAGATGCAGGAATAAAATTTAGAAATGGAACCCAGGGAGGGAGGAGAGAGGTCTGAAGGTTCGAGAGAACCTTTTCTTTTTGTTTCTTTTTTCTTTTTGAATTGTTATGCTTGCTAATTTCTATGTAAAACTAATAAAAATATTGCATATATATAAAAAGAGACTAGCCCAATGGATGGCTGATGGATGTCAACTGCTCTGGGCCATGATCAAGAGTGGCCTCTCTCAGGGCTACGTCTCTGAGTGGTTTAACAATCAATCCTTCTTACCAGAGAACTGTATCTCTGTGAGGGCTAGATGATCAACTCTACAATTCTATGATTCTCTTGGTTTAGATAAGTTAACTTTTTCAACAGGGAATTTTAAAGCGGTTCAGATTGTTGTGTGAAACCCCTTACCTCTTTTCTTCATCATCCACACAAAAAGACCAGCGCAGATGATTACAACTATCACTGCAAGGATAGACCATATGACCTTAGAGGTGCTGCCAGTAGGTTGTCTTCTTAAACAAACAAACAAACAAACAAACAAACAAACAAACAAACAAACAAACAAAATAATTTAGTAATTCCAGTAGTAATGATAGAATCGCGAAAACATTGCTGAAGCTAAGTCACAAGGGCTTTGCTAAGCCTACTTAAATTGCATAACTTTTTTTTCTGAATAAACCTATTCTTATGTCAGCAACTCATTCACTGTAATAGCTGATCTTTAGCTTATGCTTTAAAAAAATAAAAGAACACCCCCACCACCTCTGATTTAGGCTGACAAAGGAATGTGGCAGATGAAATTAGGTGGAGGACAAGCAGTGCTTTTTTTCTTTAAAAAATGTTTAGGGTACTCTCATTTTCCTACTCATATTGAAATACTGCCCCTCAATGAGGCCAAACTTAGATTCACAAAATGTTTAGGAGTATGCGCACCCCTCCATCCCTCTAGAAAAAAGCACTGAATAAAAGTAAATAACTGCCATACAAAGAAGGAAAATATGCTGTGACATCTCAAACCTTTGACAGCACCTTTGGATTATAGCCCAACACCCCCAGTCTACAAAGGGCCCACCTTTTGGCATAAGGTGCCATTTTGCAAAGGTGCCAACATTTTTTTATTGGAAGTCTTAAAAAAATTTTTTTTAAGTATTATTGTACTATAGAGTACACATAATGAAATTTAATACATAAAATAACACGGCTGTGGAACAAGAAAATAACATCCATTGTGAAGGGAGAAATCACCTTTGCTTTTAAATGCTTCATGACACACAAAAGCTTGGCAGGTGAACCCTGCACAGGTACAGCTGAATCTGTTGATTATGGTTTCTCTCAATTTCTTCTTTTTCCAATCTTTTGTTTGCCTCATAGCAATAATTTTAAAAAGTGCAGTGCATAAGCATTTGTGTGCATTTTAGGGCACATCAGTCTTACTATATGTATTTTTGTACACAATTTGGCCCAGTATACACATTTTTGTATTGTTATGGAATAATACCCTGGGTCCCTTACAAGCCTGTGATCATGTGTATGGGAGGCTAGAATCTATAGGTGGAACCTTGCTGAAACCTGTCAGGCCAGTTCATTTGCATCTTTAAAAAGTGAGCTCCGTTGCCATAGAGACAAATGGGTGGGCTTTTCCCCACTGTACCTGAATGCCAGATCATCCTAGGATGGAGAACGATAGGGTGAGGGGGCTGTGTTTGGGAGAGTTGTGTGTGAGAGTTGGCTGATGCTGGTATTTAGAGACATGTCTTGCTCTATGTTGGACTTTGGGGGTCCCCTGAAACCCTAATGCATAGCTGTCAACATTTCCCATTTTTAAAGGGAAATTCCCTTATTCTGAATAGGATTCCTCGCAAGAAAAGGGAAAAGTTGACAGCTATGCCCTAATGAGGAAGCAAGATCTGTTGTGGGGTTTATGCTGTAAGCCACTCTTGCCTATGCTCAGGTTGTATAGATGTGTAAATAGAACCATATATCCTAAAGATACCACTTCTCGCATTTGTAGCAGGCTTTCTGGTGGTATGGAATGCCTACTGACATCGCCTGCTAGCCTTGCAAGCACACAGAGGAAGAAGGTCCATGGATCATCTTTCTCTAGGCATGCAGGGTAAGGAATAGGCACAAAGAAGGTACAGTGGTACCTCAGGTTAAGTACTTAATTTGTTCCGGAGGTCCGTACTTAACCTGAAACTGTTCTTAACCTGAAGCACCACTTAGCTAATGGGGCCTCCCGCTGCTGCCGCGCCGCCGGAGCACGATTTCTGTTCTCATCCTGAAGCAAAGTTCTTAACCTGAAGCACTATTTCTGGGTTAGCGGAGTCTGTAACCTGAAGCGTATGTAACCTGAAGCGTATGTAACCCGAGGTACCACTGCAAATGGTTTGGGGGCATGCAACAGATTCTGCTAGGGCAACACTGCACATGATGTTAAATGTGCTATCCTATTGTTATAGGTTGGGGAGAGTCAGTCTGAACAAGATCCACAAGTCCCTTCCAAACCTGTGATCCCATGATTGTCAGATTAAAATCTATAAGGCAAAACCTGGTGAATTGGTCTGGCTACCTCCTTTGTTAATGGAATAGCTTTGCCTGGTGAATTAAGTACTGCCATTTACATGTTCGAAGAGGGTGCCATAGAGATGATTGGGTCAGAATCCATGACATCCTAAGGATGGAGAACAGCAGGTCAAGGGAGGCTGTGTATGCAAGAGTGAGAGAGAATGGTTGGCTGATGCTGGAAGCTGGAGACACAGGTATGTCTGTTCTGTGCGGGACCCAAAGTTCTGCTTTGGGGCTTCGCTGAAATCCTTATGGGAAATCAAGATCTTTTGGGGGTGTTGATGCTGTGAGTCCTTACATCCTATGCTGAAGTTGCATATATGTGTAAATAAAATCATATATCCCAAAGAAACCATGGTTTCCACTGACCTTCATTCCAAGGAAACCAAAACCTGGGTAAGCACAGGAACCCCTGCTTGAAGACTGGGGTGTGAGGAACAGCATTTAATGTAGCATAATAGAGTCTCAGTGGAAACTGGAGATTGAAGGGGGGCAATTTGGTGGCAGCAGGTAAGAGTTAATGCTCCCTCCTTTTTAACTAGGTTAGGAGAAGGCTCTGGAAATCTGCCCAAAGACCTGCTCCGACCATAATGCAGTAAAGATGGATATGAGGCTAACTCCAACCGGCTCCTTTAGATGGAAGATGAATGACAACCTGTTCAGAGATCAGGAGATCATCAAAAAGGCCCAAAAAACCCTGAAGGACTATTTTGAAATAAATTTGAACACTACAGTGGAAAAAAGAGTAATCTGGGACGCTAGCAAAGCTGTCATGAGGGGGTTTCTGATACAATAGAACACTATAAAGAAAAGAGCACAGAATGAGAAAAAGGACAAGATTTTAGAGAAAATTAAGGAATGCGAGAAAAAGCTAAGATTGAAACCGAAGTCACAGGAGATTCTGAGAGAAATTAAACTTTATCAAGCACAATACTCCAAATTGATAAATAACGAAGTGGAGTGGAAAATCAAGTTAATGAAACAAAGATCATTTGAATCGTCAAATAAATGTGGAAAACTGCTAGCATGGCAGTTGAAAAAGAGACAAAAATTGAATACTGTTACTAACCTAGAGATTGAAGGGAGAAACATCCAGAATCCTGTGGAGATTAGAAAGTGTTTCCAGAAGTATTTTAAACAACTTTATACTCAAGGGCCGCAAAATGAGACTGAGATAGACCAATTTTTGAGAAGGAATGGGCTACCAAAATTGTCTCAAGAAAATAGGACAATGCTGAATTATAAAATAACACAACAAGAAATTGAAGGTGCCATTCAGAATATGCAACTGGGCAAATCTCCAGGGCCAGATGGGCTTACCTCCAAATATTATAAGATATTGAAAGACTATTTGACACATCCATTAATGGAGGTCTGCAATGAGATTATGGAGGGGAAGAAAGCACCGGAATCGTGGAAAGAAGCTTTTATCACATTGATACCAAAATTGGAAACTGAAAAGACACAGCTTAAGAACTACCGTCCCATCTCCCTTCTAAATGTGGATTATAAAATTTTCACAGATATTTTAGCAAATAGATTTTAAAAAGTTCTAAATGAAGTGATTCATAAAGATCAGGCAGGCTTTCTCCCAGGCAGACATTTGTTTGCCAACACAAGGAATATTATTGACATTTTGGAACTTTTGCAAACAAACATTAATACAAAAGCAGTGTTAATTTTTATAGATGCGGAGAAGGCCTTCGACAACATTTCATGGAAATTCATGAAGAAAAATCTTGAAGGGATGGGAGTCGGACGGGGGTTTGAAAATGGCATAGATGCAATTTATTCAGAACAAAAGGCTAAATTGATAGTTAACAATGTGGTGACAGAAGAGTTTAAGATTGAAAAAGGAACACGACAAGGTTGCCCTATCTCCCCTTTGTTATTTATCTCGGTCCTGGAGGTGCTCTTGAATATGATTAGAGGGGACCGGTTGGTTGAAGGAATCCAGGTCGGAGCTAAACAGTATAAACTTAAAGCTTTTGCAGATGACCTAGTTTTGACATTACAGGAGCCAGAATCTAGTACGAAAAGGGTTTTAGAATTGATTCATGAGTTTGGTCGGGTGGCGGGATTCAAACTAAACAAGCAAAAAACCAAGGTATTGGAAAAAAATCTGACAACTTTAGAATCAGAGAGGTTTCAGAAAGAGACAGATTTAAATGTGGTTAAAAAAGTGAGATACCTAGGGGTAAACATGACAGCCAAGAATTTGAATTTATTTAAGGACAATTATGAAAAATGCTGCTTAGAAATTAAAAAGGATCTAGAAAGCTGGTCAAGATTGAAACTTTCCTTGTTGGGCCGAATTGCTGCTATAAAGATGAATGTATTGCCAAAAATGCTGTTTTTGTTTCAGACCCTACTGTGATGGCCTGGGATTCCGAGTCTGAGAGTGAATTGGAGGAATCCCAGCTGGCACAGGAGTCCCCGCCTCCAGGGCCAGCTGAACTGGGGCAAGGCCTAGATTCTGAGGAGCCTGCACCTGTGCCAGATCCTCAGGAGCAGGCACCAGGTGAAACCATTCTGGTCCCAGAGGTGCTTGAGGACTCAGTGTCTACAGGTGAGCCTCCCCCAGGGCCCAGTAACCCTTCGGCCTCTCCTGAACTGCAGAGGCTTAGGGCAGAGAGGCGAAGGGAACTGGTTTCTCCCAGGAGGAGTGCTCGCCTTAAGGCCAGGAGAGGCGGGGCTCCTGGGGCCGGGACCGCCCCTGGCCTTAGAAGAAGATAAAGGTCAGTCAGCCCGGTTGCGGGAGCAACGTCGTTGTGGAGTACCTGCTCTTACCCAGACCTAGATCTGCACTTCCAGTGTGCCTGTTCCTCGCCCGGCTTCCTGCTTCTGACTCTCCGGTGTTCCTGTTCCTCGCCCGGCTTCCTGCTTCTGCCCTACCAGCGTTCCTGTTCCCCGCCCGGCTCCCTGTTTCGGACCTCGCGTCTCATCTTGTGAACGTCTACCCGGCTAGTGACTCAGGACTGAACTTTGGCTACGGTAATAGTACCTTCCCCCCCGGGACCAGCACACCTACAGATTGTGGACAAGGTAGAGTGTTTCAGGAGGTGGCAGAGAGATATCTCTAAATTTGTCTGGCAGGGCAAAAAGCCCAGAATAAAGTTTAAAATTTTAACTGATGCTAAAGAAAGAGGGGGGTTTGCCCTGCCAGACTTAAGGTTGTATTATGAATCAGCAGCTTTCTGCTGGCTGAAAGACTGGCTGCTTCTTGAGAACACTGATGTATTGGATTTGGAAGGATTTAACAATGCTTTTGGATGGCATGCATATTTGTGGTACGACAAGGTTAAAATCCATAAGGCTTTCAAGAACCATATTGTCAGGAAAGCAGTGTTTAATGTCTGGATAAAATACAACGACTTATTAGAAAATAAGACCCCAAGGTGGTTGTCACCAATGGAAGCTAAGGCCCGGAAAAGACTCAATATGGAGGCCAAGTGGCCGAAATATTGGGAAATACTAGAAAAAGAGGGAGATACCTGGAGATTGCAGAGTTTGGAGAAATTAAAAGATAAAGTGCGAGATTGGTTACACTATGCTCAGATTAATGAGGTTTTTAATTCGGATAAAAAGATAGGATTCCAGGTGGAAAATCGAAATTAGAAACAGAACTGTTAGAGCCTAAGACTAAGGTACTTTCAAAAATGTATAACTTGCTGTTAAAATGGAATACACAAGATGAAACGGTTAAATCAGCTATGATAAAATGGGCACAGGATATTGGGTATAACATTATGTTTGCTGACTGGGAAAGGTTATGGACCACCGGTGTGAAGTTCACGGCATGCAATGCCTTGAAAGAAAATATTATGAAAATGATATATAGGTGGTACATGACCCCAGTCAAGCTTGCAAAAATATATCACCTGTCTGATAACAAATGTTGGAAATGTAAAGAAACTGAAGGAACATTCTTTCACCTCTGGTGGACTTGCCCTAGGGTTAAGGCTTTCTGGGAAATGATCTATAATGAATTGAAAAAGGTATTTAAGTATACCTTCTCTAAGAAACCAGAGGCCTTCCTTTTGGGTATTGTGGGCCAGAGGGTGTTAAAGAAGGATCGAATCTTTTTTATGTACGCAACAACAGCAGCAAGAATACTTATCGCAAAATATTGGAAGACCCAAGATTTGCCCACCGTGGAAGAATGGCAGACGCAACTGATAGACTATATGGAACTGGCAGAAATGACTGGCAGGATCCGAGACCTGGGAGAAGAGGTAGTGGAAGAGGACTGGAAAAAGTTTAAGGACTATCTACAAAAACATTGTAAATTGTATGAGTGTTAAGAAGGATGCAGGACTGAAAACAACATGGCACTAGCAATTTAGTTGAAAGAAATATGAGAATAAGTGAGATTTGAGAAAAAGATAAATTCTGGAATAACATTATGTCTAAATTAAGTATTTAAGTATTGGATAAAAATATTTAAAGTTGGAGACATAATATTTGAAAATTACAAAATAAGAGTTGAAATAAGGTGATAAATTGCTGCTTATAAGTTCATAACTGGGAACGCAGGAATGGGAGATGTGAGGAAGTCCAAAAAGTTAAGAAAATATGGTTGTCAGACATTTGGATTTGTTGTATGTTTTTTATTATATGTAAATCTTTTTGCTTTTTTCTGTTTTTCTTTGTTTGTTGTATTTTGGTGACGGTTTTATATGTGGTTGATGAATACAATGTTTAAAATCCTTAATAAATATTTTATTAAAAAAAAGAAAAGGAGAAGGCTCTTGTCTGGCTCGACCAATGGACACCCTCTTCCTGGTAGTAGTGGTGGTATAGAGAACCCCATGTGGTATAAGTCACAGAGATGAAGAAGAATTACAATTTGGGAGGGTGGGGGGATGCAACAAGGGACAGAGGGTGGGCACAGAGCTAACCAATCTCTATGGAGGCCACCATCTTGCTGGGTTCACGGTGAGAAGCAGAGGGGCTCAGAGTAAGCAACAAGCAACGGGTGGAACCAATGAGAAGTCAATGGCAAGTAATGTTGACTAATTGGACTGAGGGGGGGAAATGGCAACTGGGTGGGAGGGGGAATGGAATGGAGAACATGTGGAAAAAGAAGGGAAAGAACGAGACACATAGATACTAGAAAGGACAGAATGAATCATCTCATTGTCTGGATAGGCCATTTCTTGGTTCATGCTACTAAGTTATTTCTAACTGCATCCCCAGGGATGGAAGTGAGCGCTCCCCATAGAAACAAATGGAGAAATCCTAGAATCTGTTATGCACCCCTGCAGTGTAGTTCATACTTAACAGTACAAGTGAGAGTGTTAGAGGTTTGCAACAACCTTAATATATCACTTAATATATTTTAAATCTCCTTGGGACTTTTAAACAACTAGCATTAAATAATTAAAAAAAAACTAGCCTCTTGCTGTGTAATCTTTCATTCTGTAAATGGAGCTACACTGGTATGTGGGTGATTCCCCATACCTGTTTTGGATGGGACTGCACACCCCCTGAAGGACCAGGCATTTCGGGGGGGGGTTTGGGAGGGGCTCCAGGATATCGCTTTGCCAGTAAAGTCATAAGTAGCCTCATTGGCACAGGGTCCCTATTTCCAGCTACAGAGGTTACTGGACTGGGATAGGCTGGTCACAGTAGCCCATTCACTGTTAACCTAACGGGGAGATTACTATAATACAGTCAATACATTTATACAGACATAATGGTAGTATAGGGACGTGGGTGGCGCTGTGGGTTAAACCACAGAGCCTAGGACTTGCAGATCAGAAGGTTGGCGGTTATCTTTTACCTCTTCTCATATGACTCTTCTCTGCACCCCCCCCCGGAACACACGTGGCCCAGCTGTTTGGGCGATGCTAGAATTAGCTTCACAGTATAGCGCAGGGCCTGAGCTCTAAGCTTTATCAGAGATGTCAACACATCTCCTGTGCCTGCTGTTTCCTGAGCATATTAAGGCAGACCAGTTGGCTGCGTTTGAAAGATAATATTCTCGGATGCAGTTTTGTTTCTTGTACAAGCATTTAACTGTATCCCCCCCCCCCAAAATAAAGTACAACGGACATGCACACACAAAGCACTCCAACACAATGGCTATGCATAAAGGCACAGAAAATAAACCGAAGCTAACTATATTGTTCATTACAGTTTATCCCATCAAATTACAGTATGCCACCTGGCATGACACAAAAGATTCCATGTAAATGTCATCTTGAGGAAGGCATTTATCCATGACCACAAGTTACATTGGCTAGAGATTCTAACTCCTGGTCCCTGTCCTGTATCTAACAACATGTGGCTCACTTGGGGATATTTGCACCCTGTTTTCTGCTCTGGGGACTGACCCCCTTGGGACAGAAGGCAGCACAAGACTTTCCGAAGATTTAAGTGAAGGGGCACAAACAACAAAGAACAGGGAGTGGAGCTCACCAGTCTGCGGGGGGGACCACATCCCAGGTGTCGTCGCTTGGTGCTCTGCACGAGCCGATGGGACAGGGAGCGAGTGCGAGAGAGCAGATTGGAAAGAGAGATCAGGCAAATTGGCAAAGATCTGGAAAAAGAGTTCTGTGCATTTTGCACCGGAAAACTGCCTTTGGAAGGAACGTTACTATTCCATTGAAGGATATACTGATCAGCAATTTGAGTTCTTGGGATTTCTGCTAGGGCCTTAGAGAATGCCTGACCTCCTCCAATGCAATAAAAGCCATAAAATGTTGGGGGTTTTCGTTTCTGACTACAAGTCAGCCTAAAGCCTAGACCTAACCTGGTCTCAGGGTCCTCAGAGAATGAACCAGGCAGGACCTCCTGGAATCAGTGTGAAGAGCAGGGAGTTGTCAAAATGTAGAGGTAGCCCTCAGCCCTTGAAAACATTGGTGCCAAAAAAATGCAGGCTTAAGAGCGTTGATGTAGCAGGTTTCTACAGACCCAGAGTTGTTGTGTAGCTTGCAAATATGGGGTCTACACATAAGTAAGCCTCTACACAGATTCACACAGTCCTTCCCTGTCCTTCATCTAGGCAAGCAAGGCCACATTCACACCATACATATCAATCACAAAATAGCCATGGCTTCCCCTAAAGCATTCTGGGAGCTGCATTTCAATGAGGGCACTGAGAGCTGTGGGGAAGGCCCTTATTACTCTCACAGAGCTACGCTTTTGTGTGGTGGTTTAAGTGCCAATCCCTCTTCATGGGGAACTGTGGGAATTGTAGCTCTGGGAGAGGAATTGGGGCCTCCTAACAACCCTCAGCACCCTTCACAACCAAAAGCTCCCAGAATGCTTTGGGGCGGGAAGCCATAACTGTTTAAAGCGGCATGGTGTGAATGTGGCCCAAGAAGCACCATTGAAGGGCACATTTCAGTCCCTCGAGGACAATGCAAAGCAGGGCTAGCAAAGGATGTGGCCTGAGGAAGAAGGGGTGTGTGGCTGGTTTTGTGTGGGGAGGTTCCTAAGGGCTTGGTAGAGAGGCTTGTGTCTGCACCTGGCCCCCAGGCCTCAAAGGGCCCATCTAGGTGAACATCCTGTGTCGCATTGGCTGCATTATTTCCATTTGCAGGTGGAGGGTCGCAGCGTTCGCAGCTCTTCTGTTACTTAAGAAAATAAGCCCCCTAATCGTATTCACTAGCCTGTCGAGTACAGCAGTCACAGCCAAGCTTCTGTTTGTGGGAAGGGGCCTTTTTAAAGGGGTATGCATGAATCATGTGTAAACCCCCCACCCTCCATTGCAGGTAGCACAGATATAACATCCGCTCACAGGAAGTAGCTAGCTAGTGAGTTCCTCGCTCGCTCACTCGCTCTTGCATGCATGACACATACACACACAAATTTGTGTGAGCGTGACTGTAAAACACCCACACTTCCTTTTTCAGCGTAATCGCCTTGCTTGGTTTAGCTGAGCTACTTGAGTCTTAGATGAGCCTGTTTCTGCTTTATCGAACCCTGGCTGCTCCCACTGCCTAGGCCCCAAGGCAACCCAACAGGTGGAATGGTGGTTTAAATTAGGATCTGCCCCCTTTTTGCCCTGATGCAGCTGAATCTCACTCACTCACAAGCTACACCACACACTTATATTCCTGTAGAGCTCTTGAGTGTTCCGTTCTCTTTATTCTGGTATTTTACAGTCATCTCATGGGTGGGTGTGAGGTGGTTTCTCTAATTATTTGGCTGTCAATTTGTTAGGTTTTCTTGTAGTGAGGACACATTACTCCCTAATCCGTGCTTAGTGAGAGAAGCTTTATCCTCCATCTTTACCTTTGGCAGGAGGAGGGAAGCTTTGTGGGAAATTTGGTATCCCCCATGAGCAGTGGACTCCCATTTGTTAGTTAGAGGCTTTGAAACAGAGGCTGGATCAGTACCTATTACAGCTTTGTCACAGTGCACCAGTGTCCTGCACCAACATGAATTGAACCAAATCGTATTCTGTGATTCTAGAAATGAAATAACTCCAGATTCCCCATATGGAGATTCTGATCATTTATTCCTTTCATTATTATTTTTAAAAAGCAAGTTTCTAGTCCTTAATGTTATATGTGTGGGCAAAGGCATGGTGAAATCTAAGGAGACTAGTTAAGATTTCTAGTGATTTGTGGGGGAAACTTTGCCCCATCCATGATTAGAAAAAGCTAAATGAATTATGCAAATGCTAGCACTGCAATACATTTGTTGTATGTCATTGTCATGTTGCATACCAGTTGTAGAATTATTGTTGCTGTGGGGTTTCTGCTTATAAGCTAAAACAGCCAAATCCCTTCGAGGTTGAAATGTTTCACAATGGAGGTTTTGCTACCCTCCCTGTGTCCTCAGTCCTCCCAGCTGGGTCACCTTCAAACAGGTTTGTAAGCCTAGGCATGACTCTACATAGAAAAAGAATGGAGAACTGTCTTTCTAGGCCTCTTTTAAATAGATAAAAAGTTTACCACTGCAAATTTCTTGTTAGTACATCTCAACATTTCTAATTCCACAAAACCAGTTGGGATGCTTTGCTACCTTTTCTGAGTCTTTGCCCCCATCAGACTTGCCCTTGCCCTGCTGCTTTCTCCTGAGGAAACTTGATCTTTATTGATGAATTATAGCAACCACCAATCAGATTTTCTCCAGATTAACATTTGCTCCAATTTATTGCTAAAGAGTAGGTTTTCCAGGGGATAGCAGCTGGGTAAGGGCAAAACTGGACCCGTGCCTAGACTGTATGGGAGAAGTGGAAAACAGCTCTGATCCCTACATTCTGGGCAAAGAACAAGCACGAGTCTGGATCAGCATGTCATCAACAAATAAGATTGCAAGACTAGCTTAGATAAAGGCATAATTCTGCCAAGAAAGAAATGGAGAGAAAATCTTACCACGGCAAATTTTCTGGACAGACACTGTTTTGGATGCTTTGCTAACAGGGTTCTCTACTTTGCAAGTGAAGTTCAAATCATTGCCTTCTAAATTGTGCCTGGTGACAAGAGATCTGCCGGTGGATTCACTCTTGCTGGCTGGGGCCCAGCTGAACGTGGCATCATCTTCCCAGCTGCCTGCAGAGCAGTTCAGCTGCAGAGTTCCATTCCCACCATGATAATCTTTTGGGTCACAGACAATCTCCAGGTCAGCCTCCAATAAACGCTCTGAACAGGAAGGGAAAGAGACGTGGTATACAAAAGGGCAATAATTAGCAGAAATGGCAAATGAGGCAGCTGCAAATAAATGGAAAGGGAAGAGAAAACTGCAGCAAATGCGTAAGATTTTTTAATTATTTACTTAGAATGGAGATAAGAAACAAAACGTAAGAGATTATTTCCTTCCCTACAGACCCCCTTGGATGTGAAGATCAGCAGAGGAGATCTTATCTGTACTGTACTTCCATTTCCCTCAAACATTTGGGGGGGGGGTGTGGCCCAGGTTGGGGCGTTCTTTGCACTGAGCTATGGAATTCTCTCCCTGCCTGGCACCTTCATTATATAGTCTTTCTATCATATGCTCAACACACCCCTCTTTACCTTTGCCTCTGACACCTCATATGTCTTTAGGGCCCATCGTAATCTGCTAACATTTAAATTGTTTTACAGTACTTTAAAACCTTGTAATCTGTCCTGGGGCCTTATGGTAAAGGGCAGGAAATAAATACAATATAATATGCCTGGCAGAGTGGGAATTCTATGCCAAAATACCCCACACTGTGGTGTTCATCCCTTGTTGTGGGAAGGGGTGAAAGTGGTGTGATGGAGCCATTCTTGTGGGGTGCACCATCACCTCAAAAACCTGTTAGGCCACAGCTGATAATGAGACATAATCTTGAGATCTTAGTAATGGGGATGGGCCATGGTGGGGTTTTTTGTGGGGGGTCTGGATAGAGTGCCACAGTGTGTTGTATGAAGTACCATTTTAATTCTCCTTGCAGGCCTCATCAGTGCAGAAGGGCCCTGGTGTGGATGCAGGCCCAGAATTATTTTCACAGGGTCAGGGACTGAAGGAGAGATGCTCTATTATCATTTGTGACTCTACATGAAGGCCAATTCAAGGCTTAAGATGCTACAATCAGAGCCCCATCCTGGGTGCCTGAAATGTTTAGAATACTTACTATATACCATCAGGGAAAAGGTTTCCCTTATTGGATCTTTGTCATCAGCTATCCAGATCTGTGCTGTGTATGGGCCAGAATCCTCTTGACTTAGATTATTGATTTGTAACGTCTTGCAGTCCTCAGAAACATCCAGCCGCCCTCTATATGCTCGAATTTGGTCAATGAGTTCACATCTCTCTTCTGGATCCTTTCGTGGAATTGCTGCCACAAAAATTTGAATAGCTTGCTTTTCCTTACTTCTAGCCCAGGAAATCTTTTTGATTTCTTCTAAAGTGTTCAGCAGGAAAGTTGCAGGTTCTCCCAGAATTCCTTTCATTTTCTCAGTATTTTCTTCACCATAGGAACCTGTATGGTCAAGAAAATGAAGGGAGAAACTGTCAAGAAACGTAGGAAGCTGCCTTATGTCAAGTCTGACCATTGGTCCATCTAGCCTAGTATTGTCCACACTAATAGGCAGCAGCTCTCCTGGATTCCAGCTAGGCTTTCTCAGCCTTCCTGGAACTTGCCAGGGATTGAACTTGGGACCTTTTGCATGTAAAGCAAATGCTTTACCACTGAGCCACAGCCCTTCCCAGTGGCGTAGCGTGGGTTGTCAGCACCCGGGGCATGGCAAGTAATTTGCACCCCCTAACCCGTGGATTTGCGCCCCCTAACCCTAACCCCCAGATGTTGCGCCCGGTGCGGCCGGCCCCCCCTGCACCCCCACGCTACGCCACTGGCCCTTCCCCAATTGTACCACACCATCCCAGTAACCCATTTCAGTATCTGAAAGCAGATTCCCTGAAAAATCTGCTGGGTACTGATCTGTCTGGTCTTTTTTGATTTTTTATTCCGCTCTCCCCAGCAGGGTTAATGTACATTTGGCAGAAAGGACCTTTGCAGACAATGTAATTATTGTTATAGGATTGGGAGCTTGGCTTGGATGATATTGTTGCACACCACCCCGATGTCTGAGCAGTGCTCCCCACTCCCAGATAACCTGAGACAGGGTGGGCATTCTGGGCCTCCACACTCAAGCCTGTGGTCATATGATGGAACTGAACTCCAGCAATTCCCCAGCCCTGTCCCAAGATGTGTGTTCATTGTCTGTGTGGCAGACTGTCCTTGTAGACCCTGAAAGGCTCTGTGCCGCCTGCCTTCCAATGGCAGAGCCTAGTGATGCCCTTCCAAGGGGGGTGGAGACGGATGGACTGAAATTAATGCAGCCCCACAGCACCCTGAGACTGAGTTTGCCAAAGGCTTTGTGGTAGCACTGGCAGCCTCTGGGGCCCCCTTTGCCTTTAAGGCTGCAATCCATGCCTCCTGAAATTGATCACGCCAGTCTTTGAAATAAACATGGAGAGGACTTTAATATTTGCTTACCTATGTTTTCAGGGTGAAAAACTGACTCAAGTGAAGGTTAAGATGTTCCCTAATCACCCCACCTTTTCATATTCCTTTCTCCAGTTTGCAACCCAAACTGCATTTCCTCCCCCTCTTTCTTTTTCTTTTTCTCTTTTTTGGTTAGGGCTTAGTTTCTGCTCACATTCAACCAGGGGCCATACAGTGAATATGTCACATAGTCTTAAAAGTCCACCAGATGTAATGTTGGTTTTTCTGAGTTGGACCCTGAGGGGAAGAATGAATTTGTGCTCCCTCTCCATCCCATGGACTGCTGTTTGGCACTTCAGTTGCAAAGCTGGGGGATGTTTGGGACCCCTCTTGGGTTGCCCTTCTGGTCATGTGATAAATAAAATAGGTAAAGGTAAAGGGACCCCTGACCATTAGGTCCAGTCACGGAAGACTCTGGGGTTGCGGCGCTCATCTCGCTTTATTGGCCAAGGGAGCCGGCGTACAGCTTCCAGGTCATGTGACCAGCATGCCTAAGCTGCTTCTGGTGAACACCGTTTACCTTCCTGCCGGAGCACTACTTATTTATATACTTGCACTTCGTGCTTTCGAACTGCTAGGTTGGCAGGTGCTGGGACCGAGCAACGGGAGCTCACCCCATCATGGGGATTCAAACTGCCGACAATTCCATAATGAATATCCCAGGCAGACAACAAAAGAAGCAGGCAGGGGGAAGTGTGTGTGTGTGTGTGTGTGTGTGTGTGTGTGTGAGAGAGAGAGAGAGAGAGAGAGAGAGAGTTCTAAAATCTCATCTTTTGCAAGTTAAAGAGAACTGTTGCTAAATGAGTATGTGATTACACAAAAGTGCTTCTCAACTGGAAACTTATCACTTCCTCCTTGCTCTGTGACAAGAGGAAGCAGCATTCCTGCATTACGAAAGGGATGGTGCATAAACAATCTAGTTATTTAGACTGCCCTGCACCAATTATAGCACCCTGAGGGCAGTTTACAGAAAAAACAATTACAAAAGCGTGCATTGGTAAAAAAACAAACAAACCCAGCCTAAGATAGGGATGGGAATCTTTGTGGCCCCAAGGGTCAGATCAGGATCATTCTCATGGACCAAGTTTGACAGGTGGGCAGGGCTGCTCAGCTGCCAATCACATTTTGCAATTATGATACCACATGAGTGGCAGGTGGGTGTTGTGTCTATCTGTCAAAATCCCTTGTGCTGTTTCTGCACGTCTCCCTGTGCTCCACCTTTTAACCCTCTGAAGACATACACAAGGCCAGTGAGGGAGCTAGTCATTGCAAAACGAAGTACTACACACACGTTCCACTTTACAAACACAATGCATTCCCTGGAAATTGCTCGTTAGCTGAGCGTGTGTCTAATGAGTCAATGACTTCCATCCGCCTAGCCAGTCAACCAATTTCCACTGACAAAAATTTCTGATGTGTTCTCAACCACATGGATAAGTTAATTTTTGCATAGTGGGTGTTTTTCAAAGAAGCAGTTATCTAGGGTTTCGGGAAAGAGTCTTCCACAACCCTCCCTGGAGATGCTGGAGATTGACCTTGAGCCTTTGCTTGCACTCTACCATTGATAATGTTATAATTATTCCTACCTTATAGTGTTGTTGCACGTTTTATTGAGATAACATGTAGAAAACTGTTTGAATACTCAGTAGAGTGCCATATGGGAGTTAAGCATCAAGACAACTGTTCTGATGATAAGAGAAAGGATTCATTGTTTTATTGGATCAGATTGTATTGTGGGCACAGTTTGGAATCCACCCGTTTGCCCTTTCAATGGGTTCTTCTAGTTTTTTTACTTGCTTGGGTCTAAAACTTAACATCTCTTGAATTCACCAAGATGAAAGCTGACTCAAAAGCCACCTGAAAGAGCTTTCCTCAAGCATCAGGTCAATATATAACACCCTGAATGTACATATGCCACAAAAATTGGAAGAAAAATCACTATGAAAGTTGAAATGAAACTCTCCTAAGATTCCAATTCACTGCAAGCAGACAGAAAAGGTTTAAATAATCTTGTAAATGTTGTTAATAATTTGTTGCCAACACAGATGAGATGATGATTTTTATCATTCCTGCAATATAGTGCAGCAAGTACACAATTGTGATCCTTTGCTAGCACTATCCAAATAGCAATGCTTGGGGTGAAATTGCAGAACCTTTCTGAGCATTTTGGTGCATGAAATGTCTTTACTGCTGATTCAGCTTAAACCAAATATACTGCCTGGACTTCCTTTCTTAGGGCAAAACATTTATACTGCCCAGCCTTCAAGTCTCAAGAAATGGATACTCTACATATATGAAAGAGGCTATTCAGAAGTACCCAAAAAGTTCAAGAAAAGACAACCTGATCACTTTTAAATAGCGAAGGCTTGCTATTTCTTCATCCACACACCCTAGTTCTCTACTTGTGCAATCGAACTCTCCAGTGGCACCTTGCCTGGACATTTTCGGAGGCATTCACTCACGCACAGGAACCAAGGAAGGCCTGCAACAAGTTGCCCTAAGCTGTAGGCATCTATTATTTCTTATGCTCAGCACAAAACTCCTCCTGCTGCAAACTCTGCTCCCTGAGCTTTGACACAGCCTCTTCAGCTACAGGAAGTTGGCCCTGAGTCGGTGCAGCGCAATCGCTTTGAGGGTTTCCCCCTCACAATTAAGCAGCATATAATTTTTATGGAGTGGGGGAACTAGTCTTTAAGGGACAGAGTATCACCCATAAACTGCGGTTTCTCAAGCTGTATCTTCTTCAAATGTCTTCCTTTTTTTAAGCTTTGGAAATTACCATTGCCCCCAAAATATAGAACTGTAGCAACCATGTGACTAAGCCCAGCAATTTGGTTTTACTTTTAATATGTGTTTTTTTGCAGCAGTTCCCTATATTTTGGTAATCATTCTTTATGACAGCATATCCTTTTTTTGGTAATCCTTAAAAATAATACAGGAGAATTATAAATTTAAAAAATGGTATCCAGTGGACTTTTTAAAAGCCATTGTATTATTATTTATATATTGCTTATAGTATCTGTGGCCCTAAGCAATGCTGGGTTAGACTGATTTTTACCTAATGTAAGAGACAACAAAGTGGACCTTGAAACAGAAACATTTAAACCTAGTTGAAGGACAAGCTGTAGCTCAAAACCCTGGGCAACCACCAAGCTCACCCACCTCTAAGACCGAGCCTAGATGGTTGACTTCTACATCATGGGGGGGAAATGTCTGTGTCTCTTCAACACAGTTGATATCTGTTACCAGGCAATGAAATGCTGGATTGTGTGACTGCTGGAAAGTATTGTTAAAGACAAAAGAACTGAAATATACTTGGAGCTTAGTACATAACAAGAACCAAACACTTGGCTTCTGCAAGGCAAGTCCTGTCTCACAAGCCTATTCCATGCGACGGCCCTTCAGATGTCTGAAGATTCCTATCATATCTCCCCTCAGTAGTCTCTTCTCCAGACGAAATATACCCAGCTCCCTCAACCATTCCTCATAAGGCTTGGTTTCTAGACACGTTCCCCTGACCTAGACATTAGACATCTGTTGATGCGCCCTAGAATTGTATTAGCTTATTTTGCTGCTGCATCGCACTGTTGACTCATGTTCAGCTTGTGGTCTCTTAAGACCCCCAAATCCGTTGCACATGTACTGCTGTTAAGCTAGGAGTTCCCCACCTTATATTTGTGCATCTGGTTCTTCCTGCCTAAGTGAAGAACCTTACATTTGTCCCTATTGAAATTCATGTTGTTAGTTTTGGCTTGGTCTTCTGCTGCCTTCTACTGCAGTGCTAACAACTGGCGAATTTGGCGCATGTGATAGGAGGGCTGCTAAGCCCATAACAAAGCCATGAAGAGAGAATGTGCCTTAAACTTCACTCCCGGTCCCTCTGCAGCAAGCAAGATTGGAAGGCTGGCACACATGATAACTGTTGTAGCATAGCTAGGAAGCTATGCTGTTGTGAATTGTCTTTGTATAAAAGAGCTGTTGTGACATTTACACACCCAAGCCCCATCCATCAAGCATGGTCTTCTTTTGAATCTGTACAGTAAAAAAAGAAAAATACAGGACTTACCCACGAATACGGAAAGGAACCACAGATGCAAAAATGTCTTGCTTATCATCATTTCACAGTTAGCTCTTGTTCTGGTTCCCTGCTGCAGCAACTTCGTTGAGTAGAGGAAGAAGGAGTGGCTTGAGGTTGAGTAGAGGACGTCACTCCAACTATTTTAGCTGTTTACAATTGTTTTTAAGATAAATTATAATTTCCCCCCATTCCTTATTAAAATTTTGGCCTTCCTGATTTCTAATTCTTCCAGTTATTTTAGCCATTTCAGCATAATCCATCAACTTAATCTGCCATTCTTCTCTGGTAGGGACTTTATCTTCTTTCCATCTCTGGGGCAATAACATCCGTGCAGCTGTGGTCGCATACATAAATAGTCTTTTCTGCTCCCTTGGAATTTCAGCACCTAGAATTCCTAAAAGAAAGGCTTCGGGGGTTTTTATAGAAAAAGTTATTTTAAACATTGTTTTTAACTCATTATATATCATTTCCCAAAATTCTTTTACTACCATTTCCACCACATATGATAGAAGGTGCCTTCTTTTCCTTACATTTCCAACATGCATTTGACTCTGTTTCATACATTTTTGCTAATTTACTGGGAGCTAAATACCAAGGGTACATCATTTTCATATAAGTTTCTTTCAACGTGTAACATGCTGTGAATTTTAAATCTCCTGAGAGGGGTTGCCGTTTGCCTGGATTTCCCCAGGATTCCAATGACCGAATTGGCGGGGGGGGGGGTGGATTTCAGAAAATTGGCAAAATGTCTGGGTTTTTGAAATTTTCCCCAAAGAAGCTCAGCAACCTTCTTTGAGCGATTTCCCCCCCAAAGCTCAACAATCCCCCCTCTAAAGCCTAACAACTATCACTCACCAATATTCAAACTCCCTTTCAAAACTCCTACCCAATCATCACTCGCTTCCTACACCCCAAGCACACTCCCTCTCCCAACCTAACTTTCACCCACATTCAACTAATGTGCTTACCTACCACATTTAACACAATCCCATACTAAAGGTACATGGTAAAGGTAAAGGGACCCTGACCATTAGGTCAAGTTGTGACCGACTCTGGGGTTGTGGCACTCATCTCGCTTTATTGGCCGAGGGAGCCGGCATTTGTCCGCAGACAGCTTCCGGGTCATGTGGCCAGCATGACTAAGCCGCTTCTGGCGAACCAGAGCAGCGCACGGAAACACTGTTTACCTTCCCGCTGGAGCGGTACATATTTATCTACTTGCACTTTGACGTGCTTTAGAACTGCTAGGTTGGGAGGAGCAGGGACCGAACAACGGGAGCTCACCCCGTCACGGGGATTCGAACCGCCGACCTTCTGATCGGCAAGCCCTAGGCTCTGTGGTTTAACCCACAGCGCCACCCGCATCCCCTAATCCCATACTAGTTGACTGCAATTACTCTAATGCAGTGTTTCCCAACCTTTTTTGGGCAAAGGCACACTTGTTTGATGAAAAAAATCTCGAGGCACACCACCATTACAGCCCCGTGATGTCAGCGCGCAGCGTCACGCCGGGAGGGACGCACGAAAGTGTAAGTTTCAATTTTTTTCCCCTCCCCCTTGCCGGGGAACCTCCAAGCTTTGGGGGTGGGGGGGGGGAGGAGGCAGCAAAGCGAGGGACTGAGGGACTCCTCCAACTCCTCCTCCTGCTCGTCCACAGCCGGGTAGAGCCGCTTGAGGCGCCGCTTGAGCTCCTTCTCCTGCTCGTTCAGGGCCGGGTCGCCGCCGTGAGGGAAGGGCGCCGGGCCGCTGCTGCTGCTGCTGCCGCCGCCGCTCCCGGCAGGCATGGGCCCAGCTGAGGCGGTGGCGGCTGTTGTGGTGGTGGCGGCGATAGCGGGCGGAGGAGGGGGCGGCGGCGGGGCCGAGGTGGCCGGCGGCAGCGGGGGAGGCGGCAGCGGGTGGAGCAGGAGGGCGGCCGAGGCCGGTGAGGGAGTAGGGTTGCCCGGGGCTTGAGGAGCCGTCGCCGGGAGTTGCTGCTGCTGTTGTTGTTGCTGCTGCTGCCCGGACATGCCGGCCTCCTCCTCGTCCGCTGTCTCGCGCTCCTCCCTTTTGCGCGCGCTGCCCCGCCGCCGCCCCATTGGCCGGGTCCTGTCAGCTGATCCTGTGTTATTTCCTGTGTGTGTGTGTGAGGGGAGAATGGAGAGAGAAACCTCGGCACCACCACCGCGGAGCCGCCCCCGGCTCGACGCGGATCCTCGCCGCCGCCGCCCCGCCTCTCACCGCCCGACTCGCCCGCCTCCCTCCCACGGCACACCAGGCAACATCTCGCGGCACACTAGTGTGCCGCGGAACACCGGTTGGGAAACACTGCTCTAATGTTTACATGATAACATCTACATAAGCATAGGAACATCACACACACACACACACCCAATTGCACAAATTTTGGGTCCTTAAAGCCCAGAGAATTCTGCTGAAAGTTACATGAATTCGCCACATAAATGGAGGCAGCAGGGTACCAAGGGCTCTGCTGCGCTCTCATTCCGGGGGTATTATGGAGGAATCGGTAAATGGAGTTTAAACTGCATCTTATTTCATAAGGGCAATGAGATCTTTAGCAAGAGCCTAGAATATATCCCATGGGCGCCCTCTGCTGCAGAAGTCCAAGTGGAGGACTAGCTGTTGCAAAATCAACAAGAAAGCCTGCTTTCATTTCCATAATGCAAAAAGGCTGAGGTTGTTGTTGTTGTTTTGGAGGGGGGAGGAAACTGTGTTTGTTGTGCAAACAGTCATTTTAATTGTATGAATCCCATCTGCCAAATGCTGGCCACTTGGAACTGGCGAAAGAAATTTAGCATGTGGCGAGCAAGTTAATTCATCAGTGACCAACAGGGTGGAAATGGGTGTGGGTGGATGTCACAAGCCTTAAAAGCATGTCCCTGTTTCCATGTTGGAGGCTGTTCACCCTGAGCAACGTTAGGGAAGAAAGCAGAAATGGGAAACTGCACCTGAGGGACCATTAAAGGGCTGTGTTCAGGTCTGAGAGACTGTGATTGATGTTCTGTGATATCTGCCATAGATGAGGAAGGGTTGAAGCTTGGTGGGAGAGCACCTCCTGGCCGTAACCTTATGCCCCAAGAAGCCCACACACCAGAGGAATAAAGAAAGGCTGATTTATTACTTGAAATGAAAGGCACAAGAGTATAGCGATGCTGTTTCCAGACAGCACAGTTGCAACATCAGCAGGCAGAAAATCTCACAGCATACTGTAATAATAAAATTTAAGGTCTTATATATATAATAAATGTTCATAAATGTACCAACCAAACACATACATAGATCAGCACAGGAAGACCAACCTGAAACCATTGTGACTCCCAAACTGACCAAATGTTTTCTCTGCAAGGAGGAGGGGGTCAGGGAACCTTCCCATTGTCTCAGGAATTGGGAAATCACCATCTCAAAGGGTGACAGACTACCAGGAAAGGCAATCAGATAAGGCATTATCAGATAACCTGGCAGACAGGAAAAACAACAACACCTTTTTGTGATGTGTGTATGATGTATGGAGGGGTGGTCTTGAGCCTCAGGGCAGGGAATTTAAAATGTCTATATAAGGCCTTGCACTCCATTGTTTGAGGTCCTCTTCCTTTCCTGCGTGTGAGGGGAGCACCCTGTTGCAACAGATCAATTTGCTTCTCAATATGCTCTGGTTGGCCTCTGTTATTTTCTCCTACCAATAGGGAACCCACGTAAGGACTCTATATGGGCTCTTGGATACCCCATAAGGGAAAAAGGGCATATTTTTATTGTTTACAACAATAAACAATGATCTTGAGAGTAAAAAGGATCCATAATTGTTTTTTTACACACCTGAAATGAACATTAAACATTAGGAAGAACTTCCTGACAGTAAGAGCTGTTCGACAGTGGAATTTGCTGCCAAGGAGTGTGGTGGAGTCTCCTTCTTTGGAGGTCTTTAAGCAGAGGCTTGACAACCATATGTCAGGAGTGCTCTGATGGTGTTTCCTGCTTGGCAGGGGGTTGGACTCGATGGCCCTTGTGGTCTCTTCCAACTCTATGATTCTATGATTCTATGATTCTATAACTATCCCCAAAGCCTAGAGAGTGAGTGCAGCGATGTGCCACAGACCCACACTAAAATAAAGCAAAGAAAGGGGTGATCTTGAAGGCTAATGGAACCAAAGCCAAGCATCAGAAATCTGTGCCTCCTCTTCTTTTAAGACCCTAAACCATCAGAGATCTCTCAGCCTTTGGTCTGTGTCCAGTAAAGTATGGGGTTGATCCTTGAGAGCGTAGAGTGAAAAGGGGGTCCCGTTGGAGCTTGTGAGCCACCCAATATTAAAAACCAGTGGCTTAAGTATTATTTTGAGCCAGTGCTACTTTATGGAGAAGGGAAGGGTCTTTCTGGATGAGTGAATGTCATAACACCTTCATTCCTTTGTATTATTGTTTATTTCCTACAAGTTCCTGGCCATTTGCTATTCTGCTTACTTCCCTGAGTTTGAAGTTGAAAGGACACGGCCATACTGAGAAATGACTAACTGGTTGTCTGTATGTTTCCTGAATCGTGAGTTTACCTTTCGAGCAAGATTTTATTTTCTGGGCAGAACCTCATTCTTTCCTACAATAGGAGATAATTTATCTTTGCTGGTAACACAGGATTAAGGTGCTCATCCTTACATTAAGTATTAGGAGGTCAGGAAGTTTTATCAATGCCTCCTTGGACACATTTAAGATAAAGACTTGTACCAGCATCAATATAGTTCCATCGAGGGGTACATTTTATATCAAGTTATGGCAACTTCGCTGATGCCATGATCCACAGCAATAACCCATCAAAAACAACTGAGATTAGTACGCACCATTACATCCAATTAATTTGGAACGCTTTTGAAGTTGGCCCACGGGCTTTTTAATTGATTGATCAAATTGATTACTTGGCTAAATGTTGTAGTCTGGAAAGAAACAAGGCACGAGAGAGTCATGCTCAGCTGTCAGGAGGAGAGATTCCCTCAGAGGCCATTGCTTTTCTTCTAGAAAAAAAGGTTCCCCAACTCTGTACCCTTCAGTATCCCCCTCAGAGGCCCAATGAGAACATGTCTTCCTTGCGAGGGGGGGGAGCAATGGAGTGAGCAGAGAACCAACTCTTGCATTTTATTTTCCCCTCACAAGAACCCTGTTAGGTAGGTTAGCTGAGAGATCATGACTCATCCAGTGTCACCTGGTGTACTGAGCCATATTTCAGATCCAGTCCTCCCATGCAAAACCATGGACTCAAGCTATACAGCTGCAAATAAATGTGTGTGTTTAAGTGCAATATACAATGTGACACTAGATGGTGATGGTGAGCCTTATGGAAAATTTAATGTTTGGGGGGGGTTTTAAAAGCATTTTCAGAACGTTTTTCATATGTGTGTAGATTCCACCCATGGCTGACAAAGTTAAAAGGAGCCCAAGCAAATTGAATTCTGGTCACCCCAGGAAAGCCATGACTGAGTTATAAATTTGGGGGGGTGTGTACATCCTTTGGCCATCCTTTGTGTACATCCTTTGGCACAAGCAGAAACCTTTTCATTTCGCCTTTGGGATCTGTAGCATCACCTGGCGAGAAATTAAGAGGCACATTTCAATCTGGGATTCAAGGTCCACTCGATTAATCACATCTCTTAGTTGTTCAATGCTTGAAGATGAAAAATGCCTGGTGGCCAGCAGCCCAGCATGCGTTGTCAGCGCCTGGGGGGCCAGAGCGAACCCCCCTCGGGAGCCAAGTGGCACTGGCCTGCACCGTCTGCCCACCTGGGTAGGGGAGAATCCGGCTGGCCGATGCAAACCTTGGTGGGGGGATCTCCCTGACACCTGTGGAGAGGAGCCAATGTGGACTGGGCTGAGCTGGGGTCCCCCTTTGCATACCTCCCTCCATCCGTTCCTGCTCACCTTGGGCCTGGGTGCTGCTGCTGCCATACAGGGGCAGCATGGCAAAGAAGGAGCTCGCCATGCGGCCATGTAGTGCAGGGGCCAGACTCTGCTTGGTCCAGACTGGAGAATGAACCCAGTCTTGGTTTTGGGGAACCTGCAGCCTTACAGATTATGGATGGGAGGAGACATTTTGTTCTTTTCTTATTTTAGGTAAAACTGCCTAATCCTCGCCTGTTTCAAGGGGTATTTTTGAAGCGGTTCATGCAGTTCGGTGAAATCTCCTACCTCTTTGCTTCTTCCACCACATGAGAACGCCAGCACAGACGCTGATGGCAACTTTTTCCACTGCGAGAATGGCAGCCAGCAGGGTTAAAGACATATTTTCGTAGCAAGCCTCATTTCCTTAAAAGATGCACATACAAAACAACAATATATGTTAGTTTCCAGGCCCTAATGCCACATAGAACCATAGAAATGTAGACTTGGAAGGGATCCCAAGGGTCATCCAGTCCCACCCCCTGCAATGCAGGAATCACAAGTAAAGAATCCATGAGAGATGGCCATCCAATTTCTGCTTAAAAACCTCCAAGGAAGGAGAGTCCATCACCCTCTGAAGGGAGTCCATTCCAATGTTGAACAGCTCTTACTGTCAGAAAGTTATTAACGTTTGGTTGCATTCTCCTTTCTTGCAATTGGAATCCATTGGTTCAAGTCCTACCCTCCAGTGCAGGAGGAAACAGGCTTGCCCTTCGGATATTTGAAGATGGCTATCATAACATCCCTCAGTCTTCTCTTCTCCAGCCTAAACATACCCAACTCCCTCAACTGTTCCTCATCAGACTTGGTTTCCAGACTCTTTATCATCTTGGTCACCCTCCTCTGAAGACATTCTAGCGTGTCAGTATTCTTCTCAAATTGTGGTGCCTAGAACTGGACACAGGACTCCCAGTGGGGTCTGACCAATGGCTCGTCCATACGTTCCAGGGGAAAACCTGCTCTTTACTGCTGAATTGGAACAAATGTCAACCAGGTTTCCCACAGATGGATGTTTGCTCTGATTCAGCTGTAAAGTGTGGGTTTTCCCAGGGAAAGTGGTAGAGCAAATGGAAAACCACTCAGCCTCCTACCTAGAAAGCATGGGACAAGGGGGAAACTGCTCAGACCTGTGCTTTCTAGAGCAGGACAAGCAAAGTGTAGATGAGCCGCCAAGGCAGAATACAATGGTATTATTACTTCCCTTGACCTGAACATTATACTTCTGTTGATGCAACCTAGAATTGCATTATTGTTGTTGTGGTTGTTGTTTCCTACTGCATCACACAGTTGACTCATCACACAGTTGACTCATGTTAAGTTTATGCTCTGCAAGACCCCTAGTCCTGTTCACATGTGCTGCTGTCTTCCATCCTATGTTTGTGCATCTGATTATTAGAACCTTGCTTTTGTTGAAGTACATTTTGTTTGTTTTGGTCCAGTTCTCCATCATCTTGTGCTACAAACGCCCAGTGAAATGTAAAGAATCACACATGGGGAAAATATCAATATTGTTTGGGTCAGTGGGATATCCTTTGTCCTATCTTGATTAAGAAGAAACAAAGCAAATTATTCAAAAACTTTTTCCAGGTCCTGTCCTCCTAGTCAGGTTGCCTTCAAATAGGATTGTAAGACTAGCTTGGACCCATGACTCTGCCTAGAAATGAGTGGCGGAGCACTGTCTTCCTAAGTAGCTTTTAATGAGAGAAAAATCTTACCACTGCCAGTTTCTTGTAAGGATATTACAAATGTTTTCATTCCACAAAACCACCAGAGGTGCTTTTCTACCTTTCCCCAGGTCCTCTGTTCTCCTCACAGCCACTTAACTTCATCCACAAACAGGATTGCAAAATAGAGGCTCATCCACACTTTTGCTTCTCCTGCTTTCCTCCAAGAAAACCCACTCTTTACAGCTGAATTGGAGGAAACGTCAACCAGGTTTTCTGCAGATGGACATTTGCTCTGATTCAGCAGCAAAGAGTGGTATTTTCTCGGGAAAGTGGCAAGACAAGTGGAAGACCTGCGTCTCGAAAGTAGGGGACAAGTGGAAGTATGAATGAGCCCAAGCTTAGATGCAGGCATTACTCTGCCAAGAGAAAAATGAAAAGCAAATCTTACCACTGCAAATTTTCAGGAAAGACACTGTCTTGGATGCTGTGCTAACAGGGTTCTCTACATTGCAAGTGAAGTTCAAATCATTGCCTTCTAAATTGTGCCAGGTGACAAGAGATCTGCCAGTGGATTCACTCATGCTGGCTGGGGCCCAGCTGAACGTGGCATCATCTTCCCAGCTGCCTGCAGAGCAGTTCAGCTGCAGAGTTCCATTCCCACCATGATAATCTTTTGGGTCACAGACAATCTCCAGGTCAGCCTCCAATAAACGCTCTGAACAGGAAGGGAGAGAGACATAGAATAGAATCATAGAGTTGGAAGAGACCACAAGGGCCATCGAGTCCAACCCCCTGCCAAGCATGGTATACATGGTATACAAAAGGGCAATAATCAGCAGAAAGGCAAATGAGGCAGTTGCAAATAAATGGAAAGGGAAGAAAAAACAGCAGCAAAAGCATAAGAAAAGTTTTTTATTTAGAACGGAGATAAGAAACAAAATATGAGAGATTATTTCCTTCCCTACAGACTCCCTTGAAGATCAGTAGAGACTCTATATGTACTTCCATTTCCCTCAAACATTGTGTGTGTGTGTGTGTGTGTGTGTGTGTGTGTGTGTGTGTGTGGCCCAGAATGGGGCATTCTTTGAACTGGACCCTGAGCTATGGAATTCTCTCCCTGCCTGGCACCTTCATTATATAGTTTTTCTATCATATGCTCAACACACCCCTCTTTACCTTGGCCTCTGACACCTCATATGTATTTCAGGCCCATCCTACATTTAAATTGTTTTACTTGATTTTAAAACCTTGTAATCTGTCCTGGGCCTTATGGTAAAGGGCAGGAAATAAATACAATATAATATGCCTGGCAGAGTGGGAATTCTATGCCAAAATACCCCACACTGTGGTTTTCATCCCTTGTTGTGGGAAAGAGGTGAAAGTGGTGTGCTGGAGCCATTCTAGCTCTTGTGGGGGCACCATCACCTCAAAAACCTGTTAGGCTACAGCTGATAATGAGACATAATCATGAGTTAATATGAGACCTTACTAATGGGGATGGGCCCTGGTGGGGTTTTTTGTGGAGGGTCTGGATAGAGTTCCATATTGTGTTGTATGAAGTACCATTTTAATTCTCCTTGCAGGCCTCATCAGTGCAGAAGGGCCCTGGTGTGGATGGAGGCCCAGAATTATTTTCACAGGGTCAGGGATTGAAGGAGAGATGCTCTATTATCATTTGTGACTCTACATGAAGGCCAGTTCAAGGCTTAAGATGCTTCAATCAGAGCCCCATCCTGGGTGCCTGAAATATTTAGAATACTTACTATACACCCTCAGGGAAAAGATCTCCCTTATTGTTTCTTTGTCATCAGCTATCCAGATCTGTGCTTTGTATGTGCCAGAATCCTCTTGACTTAGATTATTGATTTGTAACATCTTGCAGTCCTCAGAAACATCCAGCCGCCCTCTATATGCTCGAATTTGGTCAATGAGTTCACATCTCTCTTCTGGATCCTTTTGTGGAAACGCTACCACAAAAATTTGAATAGCTTGCTTTTCCTTAGTTCTAAGCCAGGAAATCTTTTTGAATTGTTCTGAAGTGTTCAGCAGGAAAGTTGCAGATTGTCCAACAATTCCTTTCATTTTCTCAGTATTTTTTTCACCAGAGGAACCTGTATAGTCAAGAAAATGAAGGAAGAAACGGTCAAGAAACGTAGGAATCTGCCTTATGTCAAGTCACATTGTTCACATTGAACCAGGGGTCAAACCGTGAAGATGTTGCAGTGTCACCTATCCTCTAAGGGCAGGTGCACACCATCAATTTAAAGCACATCCAACATACCTCTAAAGCACATGGCTTCTCCCCAAAGAATTCTTGAGGCTGTAGAATGTTAAAGGTGCTGGGAGTTATAGTTCTGTGAGAGGAAACTACAGTTCCCAAGATTCTTTGGGAGAAGCCATGTACTTTAAATGGATGGTGTGGAGCTGCCCAAAGTCTTCCAAAAGCAATTCTAGTTTTCCAGGGCTGGGTTCTGAAGAGAATAACAAAATGGTGCCCCCGCCCTGTTCCATGGACTGGTGACTGGTGCTCCCAGAGCAAAGCTGGAGGGTGTTTGTGACCCCTCTTGGTTTGCGTTTGTGCCATCAGTAGTGGAGCCAGAGGAGAGCCAGCAGCTTCTCCTTCCCTCAAGTGCCCCCTCCAGTATGTGACCTCTCTGAAGCTGGACTTGGGCCAGACTAAAATTCCTGGCCCTACTTGAAGCAAAAGATGGCCGTTCACAGCAATGCAGCCAGAGCATTTGGGGGGCCTGTGCTAGGAGGGCAGTTAAGCCTATAACCAAGCCAGACCCTTTATGAAGGAAGTCTCGCTCTCCTCCACTATTCACGGCACAAAGAAGAATTAACAAGGACACATTTCCTCTCTCTCTCCCAAAAAAGCCAATCATACAGGTCGGCCAAAGCAGTTTCTGCGCCAAAACTGGGGCTAAACCCCAACTGAAATGGATCTCAAAAATAAGTTTCCTCCAAGAGTGCCTGGATCTGGTCCACAACCACCTGCTCAAGAACCTTGGCCAAGAAGGGAGATTGTTGACAGGCCAGTAATTACTTAAGATTTTTCGAATCCAGAAATGGTTTCTTGAGGAGTGTTTCCATACCCTCCTTCCATACCCTCCAACATTTCTCTGATGAAAATAGAGACGTCCCATTCCATTATGATAATTTTACTATTTATACCCTACACATCTTATTGGCACTCTGGGCAACTTCCAATATATATAAAAACACAATAAAACATTAAATATTTAAAAAAAGACACCTTCCCTATTCAGAATTGCCTTCAGACGGCTCTGGGGTTGGATAACTCCATAACTTCCAACATTTATCGAATGAAAACAGGGATATCCTAAGTAAAAGCGGAGCATTTCGGGATCAAACCAGAAACCGGGATGGCTCTAAATCAGGCATGTCCCTGGAAAACAGGGACACTTGGTGAGTCTGTCATTCTCGCATGCAGTGACTAATCCCTCTCACAAAAAGGCATTAACCACTTCCTTAGCCCAGCCAGCTGCCTCCTCCCTGCTTGTTTTTATCAGATGCACACACAATTAATTAATGATTGCTCTATACACACACAAATCAATTAATTAATCACCCCGCTTCCTCCCCGAGGAGGTGAGGCTGGCACAACAATACACAGGTCTGAAAAACATTTAAAAGCAATCAAATCTCTTTACACAGCGGAATCATTTCAAGGTTGCCGGGAACGGTGTGTCTCGGTGATGAGTGCCTAGAGGAGCAGGAAGGTCTTCTGGTTCTGCCTGGATATTCCATAATAGTGAAGGACTGGCACATTTCAGCAAGGAGGGCATAGCATCAAAGGCCAGCTGCTACCAAGAAGACCCCGTTCACTGGGAAGCACCGAACAGGCAGCACTCAGTAACACCAACAACAACAGGGCCTCCCCTTGCCAGTTGCACAACCCAATATAACCATAGTTACACATGGCCCTGTGACGGTGGAATGTGTGTGTGGCAAGATCTGCAACTTCCTTCCCAGAATTGTAAAGTAGGAAGGGATACCAAGAGTCGTCTACTCCAACCTCCTGCACATATTCATTAAATTTATTTCCTTCAGACTTTTAATGGAGATGGCCCCGGGTTTTGGATAATTCTGGCTTAAATGAGGACCATGTCTCTCTCTTTTTAGTATATTTTTTATTAAGTTTTCTATTTTAAAATTTAAAATATTCATTGACTTCCCTTCTTCTCTTTCCATGGCTCAATTCACATATCGTAAATCCCTGCATAGTTTACATAAACTAAACCATTCAGTACTCCATTAATACACCCATCAAAACATCATAATAATAATAATAGTAATAATAATTTATTTATACCTCGACCATCAGGCTGGGTTTCCCCAGCCACTCTGGGTGGCTCCCAACAGAATTAAAACCACAATAGAACATCAAACATTAAAGACTTCTCCATACAGGGCTGCCTTCAGAAGTCTTCTAAAAGGCAGATAGTTGTTTATTTCCTTGACATCTGATGGGAGGGTGTTCCACAGGGTGGGCACCACTACCAAGAAGGCCCTCTGTTTACACAGTTGAATTTATCTTAATGCTGCCAACTAATGAGGACCACGTCTTCCACATGATAGGTGACAAACGAGGACAGCCTGAAAACATTTTTGCCAATTTTTGCTGTTGGGAATGACCTTAAACTTACCGGTATTTGCATACCAGGAATGCCTCCTTCATGGTCTCACAGCTGACACCCCACCCAGCCACCTTTGTGGCCATCACCAAACAGTGCGTGGAGCGAAGGGAGCTGTACCCCAGAAACCTGCCACAATAAACTAGGGGTGGGGTCTTTAAGGTGCCATCACCAAACACTTTGTAGTTTTGGAGCTGAGGAGTTGGGAAGGACCTTCAACCAAGACGGTATCTATCAAGCATGTTCTTCCTTTTCAGATGGGGGTGGGGGTTTGCATACAAAACTTACCAGCTGGTAGCGCAAGTAGCCCCAGAATGAAAAATGCCTTGCATTGTATCATTTCGGCTTTGCTCTTCTGTTTCTTTACTGCCTGTTTCCTGCCATCAAGGCTCCGTGTAAGTCATATGAAACCGAAAGTGTGTGTGTGTTCTCTAAAAATCACCACCTTCATCAGAGACAAAAATAAGCTGCCTTATATGGAACCAGAACATTGCTCTGATAGTTTTCACCAGGGGAAACAAAACTATGGGCCCAGGCTAGGCCCCACCCCAGATGTCCTCTTTTGGCCCATGAGGCTTGCCTATCTCCTGATGTCTGGTGAGGTCAGGTGTGAGACAGGTAAAAGCCATGGCATCAAATACAATAGGAAGAAAGAATTAGGACCTTTGGCATGAATTGGGCACCTTTTGAAATTGGCAGCCTGGGCGGCGACAGAAGAAGACACCAAATTCAAAAAGTGCTGAATTCCAGCCAAGGTTGCAAAGGCAAAATTAGGAGCACACTTTGAGGGCCCTCCTTTCTCTTCCTTTGCAGCAGCAGCAGGGCTTTAAATCACCTGATGTCAGATGATTGACAGGTAGGTGGCCAACCCACCTATCAAAATGGCCATCAGAGGGGTGGTCTTTAGTTCCTGACCTCTGAAACGACATGGGCTGGCGAGGGCTCTCCAGGGTTTCAGACAAAGGACTCTCCCAGCCCTATCTGGAGATGCTGTGGATTGAACCAGGGACCTTCTGAGGTTTTATCTGTGGGTCAAAAGGTCATGTTGGAGATAGCAGGATCATTATATTAGAGCAGCAGTTGCCAAACTGGACTCCGCAGAAGAAGAGTTTGGATTTGATATCCCGCTTTATCACTACCCAAAGGAGTCTCAAAGCGGCTAACATTCTCCTTTCCCTTCCCCCCCCCACAACAAACACTCTGTGAGGTGAGTGGGGCTGAGAGACTTCAGAGAAGTGTGACTGGCCCAAGGTCACCCAGCAGCTGCATGTGGAGGAGCGGAGACGCGAACCCGGTTCCCCAGACTACGAATCTACCGCTCTTAACCACTACACCACACTTGGTGCTCCACAAAGCATCTTCAAGTGTTCCATGAATGGATTGGAAAGAAAAAGAAGTGAATATGAGCCTGTGGCATAAGGGTGAGACTCAGTGGCGGAGCTGCATTTGTGGGACCCTGAAGCTCAAACTGCCATGTGAGGGCCTTCACAATTAGCAATAAGGTTTGGCTAACCACTGTTATCTTCTTGAGTGGGGTTGTTCCATGACAGATCATCACACCTTTACAATGTCTGTGCTACTGACTCAAGCTTTGGGGTTGTTGAAATGTATACAACAAAAAAAATAATCATGCTGACTCAAATCGATGTGACTCAGATTAGGTCTACTGGACCCAAATTTCTTAAGCAATGTGCACTAAAGTTGCTTTTGGGGCCCCTGAGGGATTAGGGGCCCAGACGTTTAAGCTTCCTTGGTTTCATAGTAGATCTGCCCCTGCCGATGATAGTTCTCTGCGACTCAAAAAGTTTGGGAACTGCTGCATTAGTGGATATGGATTGCAAAAATGTTCACAGGTGTTGCCTGTGTATTTTTCTCCTAGCTTCCTGGATATTTGTCCACCTCTGGTGAAATCCTAGCTGACCCACTCCAAACTAGTGTCCTGTGATGTGTGACTGATCCCTATCCGGCACCCATCAGTGCTAACCCCAAATATCTCCTGTCTAGTGCAAAAGGGCCTAGCGGGACCAGCCTGTGGTAACTCCTCTAGGTCAGGAGGGCAAGCAATATACTATTTGGCGTCTTCATGGTCCATCCCTGTGTAAGGGATGAGTCAACTGCAGCTCCCCTGCCCTGCTTCCGGGGTTTCAGAGGGGAGGGAACTGGCTCCTCGCACAGGCAGTGGCCTGTGATGTGTTCCAAGTATGGGTCCCGGGACCACCAGAGGGTGTCTGATACCATCAACTCACTCATGAGTTTGGTGTAGGGTTTGCCTGCACTGCAGGCTATCAGGAGGGGCTTGTTGTTAAGGTCCCAGCCCCCTAAGGCTCTGCTGAGGAGGGCATGGATGAAGACTCTCTATGTCTGCTGGGGAGGGGAGTGTATTTGCCTATTTTACATTCCCTGGTTTCCTTCATGGCTGTTTTCCTGTTCTTGAATGTCTGTCATTATGACTTTCTTCTGGTCCTCAAGGTGGATGACAATGTCAGGTCTCGGTTGGCTTCCTTTGTTGGGTGCTACACTTGATACTGGCCAATAGGCAGAGAAGTGGACTGTTTGGAAAGGATATGGAACTCCATTACTCTCCGAGAGCGCGTGAATGCTGGAAAGAGCTCACCAGCACATCAGAACCATTCTCAGTTCCACAAAATATACTCCAACCACATTTCTCTTTCCCGTGCACATTTGCAGCAAATTTTCCACACCATCGGAGTCCTTTCAAGGACATATATTCAAGCATATATTCAAAGACACACAGCAGCACCCATAACATGAGCCTTTATCACCCTGACCTTAGGACATGCGTCAGGAAGCTGTTTTGCTTAATTTTGGACCAGCTTGATCATGGATCTTCTTTGTGCTCCTCTTAATGGGATGTGGGTGATTTCTTGAATGCTTGAACATACAGCACCTTTCTTGAACACACAGCACATTCAAAGCACATATTATTATTATTATTATTATTATTATTATTATTATTAATAGAGCTTACAGTGATGTCAGGGAACTGCCATCGGAGCTAGAGGCGGAGAGAAGGCTCCAGAGGGATGCCGGAGAGGGTCCCAGTAGGGAGAGAGGCAGCCCATCTGCTGCGGAAGGAAATCAGCATAACACCAGTAGAGAAGGGGGGCAGATGGGGGAATCGGAGAGGAGGCTCCAAGACTCCTCGCCGGAGACCAGCGGAGAGAGTATGGGTACTCCACTGCCCACACCCTCCCTGCGCAGAAGGCTTCCGCGCAGGGAGAGTAGGAGGAGACTTGGCGTCAAAGAACTTCTATGCTGGAAGAAGTTCAAGAAACGCCCACTCACGGATTCTGCCAGCGACTGAGACAGCCACAAAGCTAGAAGCTGTCCGGTCAGAAAGGGTTCAACCAGGTAGCCTAGCCAGGAGTGGCGGCAACTTACGCACGAGCAACCCCTAAACCCATTACAGGTATATACCGCCCTATACCCGGAGGTCTCAGGGCGGTTCACAGAACAAATAAGAATATAAAACCACAAAATATATAATCAAAATGAAAGCAACAATCCAATTACACCCCCCAAAAAACCCCACATTTTAAAAGGGCATAGGATCAATCAAATCAACCAAAGGCCTGTTTAAAAAGGAATGTTTTTGCCTGGTGCCTAAAGGTGTATCTTCAGGGTCCCTTCCAGCTCTACAGTTCTATGAGTCTATAAGTCTATCCCAAAGCCAGGGTGGAAAAGTTTCATGTTCTGTGTACTGCTGTATGTCTTTCGCTATGTGGCCATCTCTAAATGTGGGAGGTTGGGTACACTACAAAGCCTTTTAATAATCAAAAATGACAGGGGGATAATTGGAATATAATTCAGGCTTTGGCCAAGGCTTTGTGCTCCAAGCAGGAAATGTACTCCATTAACTCAGAAGAGCTAAAGGCAAACAACCTGTTCAGCCATATTCTGCTTTCCAAGTTCACTTTAAGCCCTCAGATGTTTGCTCCAATGTCTGAGTAAGGCTTTTGCCTTCCGTTCTTTGCAAAGGCTTGTGGCCCCAAACCACAAACAGAGTTGGTCCAGAGGACTCTAGAAGCTTCCAAGTTACAAAGAGATTCCGGAAGGTCTTCAATTCCACCTACAGTAGATAATATGATTTTGCTCGTGCAAAGCATTTGATTCAAATATATCAGTCAGGGATATTCGGTCCCTCAGCCTCACTTTGTATATACACCAGGTGCTTCTTTAATTTTCTGCTGCCATCAGTTCACTCAGAACATTTTCCAAACCTCCTAGTACCTGTTATGGAAAGCTTAGGTGTGAGCTGGACACCAATGCTACAGACAAGCTGAACTTGAACTGAGAGGGTTGGTTTGTTAAAGAAATACTACATGCAGAAGGGAATAACAATATTTATATTGGGGTCTTCAAGATGTTTGTTGGCAGCATCTGAAGACACAAGAGACAGCATTGCTGACCTCAGATTCTACATGGCTTGGACCTTAAGCCACGTTCCCTAAACCTCTACCCCACAGAGTACTCCCACAACCCAGTCTCCATCCTTTCAGACCAATCACCTCCTTCCCTTTGCAAACTCGTTCTTTCCAGATTTTTTTGTTGAATGCTGTTATACTTTCCAATACTTTCCAGTCATATTGGCTGCATTGTCAAACAATTATTCTCTACGCTATCAGTATCAGCTCAGCTAGGGTTGCCATATTTCAAAAAGTAAAAACCAGGGCACCCAAAAATTGCTGAGCTTTTTTTTAAGGAAACCACCATGATTCTCAGTTAGGATCCAGGACAAACCTCACAAAGTGTGCAACCAGTGTGCATCACTAGGGAAAACATATCTGACAATGACAACAAGTCGATCAACATGGGAAACATCAGGAGTCTAAACAACAGATAAACTAAAATAACCTGCCTGATTGATGTCACTCAGTATTGCTTCTCAGACTGTATTAGCCATCAACTGGATATCCTCTTCACATATGGTTTTGGATAAGTGCGATGGCTGATCAGAGCCTTTATTTCCATATCGATTTATGTGAGCACATGGGAAGGGATCAAATTTGGAAATTAATTCAAGCAATCCAATAAAACTACTATTGTCTGCTGAACCAAACCTTCGCCGCATCAAGCAGTTGGTCCCTTACCTTTCCCGCCCCGACCTGGCCACAGTGATCCCTGCGACGGTCATCTCCAGGCTTGACTACTGTAATTCGCTCTACGCAGGGCTGCCCTTGAAGCTGTCCCAGAAAATCCAGCGGGTGCAGAATGCTGCAGTGAGGCTTCTCACATGGTCTCTGCCATGGGAGCATATTCATCCAGTGCTTTTCACGCTGCACTGGCTCCCGGTGGAGTACAGGGTCAGATTTAAGGTGCTGCTTTTGACCTTTAAAGCCCTTCACGGCCTAGGACCCTCGTACATACGAGACCGCCTCTCCCGTTATGCCCCACAGAGAGCCTCAAGGTCCATAAATAGCAACACCCTAGTGGTCCCGGGCCCTAAGGAAGTTAAATTGGCTTCAACCAGAGCCAGGGCCTTTTCAACTCTGGCTCCGGCCTGGTGGAACGCTCTGCCTCATGAGACCAGGGCCCTGCAGGATCTGATTTCTTTCCGCAGGGCCTGTAAGACAGAGTTGTTACGCCTGGCCTTTGGCTTGGAGCCAATTTGATTCCCTCCCTCTCTTTCTTTTTTCTTTTCCTTCTCCTCCTGCGAGGAGGCTACTTTTTAATATTTTAATGTTTCAGTGTTTTAATGTTGTATTTTAATTTTGTTTTTAAGTTGTAATCATTCAACTTGTTTTTATTATTGCTTGTAAGCCGCTCTGAGCCCGGCCTTGGCTGGGGAGGACGGGGTATAAATAAAAATTATTATTATTGTTGTTGTTATTGTTATTGTTATCATCTCACCTAAATG